GGGAACGCTCTCCGTCTCTTCTTGAAGACCTGTCTCGTTCTCTTTCCTTTCTGGGACTTCGTTCTCTCTTATTTTCTTCCTTCCCTTTCTCCTTTCTCGACGAAAAGCTCTCGACCTTGGAGAAGAGTGCTTCCTCACCATTTATGTATTTTTCTGCTTTGGCAAGCACCTCCGTCATACTAGCCTGGGGGTTCTTTGAGATGAAAAACATCAAATCTTTTGATTGAACTCCCAGACCTGCTATGAAGGCTATAATAGTAAATTTTTCGTCTGGGACATCCACTTTCAAGGATTCTGAGTTGAACCGTTGGACATAAGACCGTAGATTCTCATCAGGTCCCTGTTTCACATTTAACAAATGGTAGCTTGGTTTTCTATAGATCCGAGCTCCGATGAAGTGGGACACAAGCGAGATTGACAACTCTTTAAAAGAGGAAATCAAGGCTGGGGGGAGTTTAGTCGCTGGAAAGTAGCCCCAACCTGTTAGGGGGCCACTATAAATTGCATGCTCCATCAACACTTGGAAGGACACTGATTGTCTGGCACTACACCTTCCTTGATTCTTTATTCTCCCTCGAAGCTTGTATTCTCTATCTCCATACCCTTAAATTAATAAAGTACTCGACAACGAAAGTCATTAAAGAGTGGATGTAGGTCGAGTTGATTGAACCACTATAAATCTTGTCTCCTCCAGTTCTCTCTTTACTTTTACTGCATTTATTATTTACACTTGACAGGTGGTGTTCAAAACTATTTTTGTGCATCATCAAAGTTCACACAAAAATCTACGAGTTAGAAATTATGATATAAAATACATCTACTACTCATAATGGATTAAAATATATCGGGAGACCAAAAATAAGAAAAAATATATTATTCTAGTTAAACCCAAAAAAAAAACATGCTTCCTCTTGTTTCATTAAGGCTCAAGGTAGAATTCCAACACATTTTGGGGATAGAAAATAGAAATAAATATGATACAAGGCCACCCTGGTAATTTCACCCATGAAACTGATCAGTAATGTTGTCCAAGTCAAGAAAGGAAACTATCTGAGGACTAGATTGGTAACTTGCCGAACCAGATATAACCCATCAGCTCATTAAATTTACATTTTTAACTTATAAATTCCCTCCCAACACAAAAATGTGGCGTTTTGTAACGCCCGACTTTTTTACCGGTTACCGGAAGTAGGTCCCATGCCGACCTCCCAATGGTGTCACTCTGCACTCGACAGCTATGTGCAGTGACCCACACGTGCCGGTCAGTTCTGGTCTGACCACACTTTCTAACATACCCTCTTTTCTACTTCCTAGTGTGGTACGATTGTTTTTTTTGGGTGAATAGTGTGGTACGAGTTTGATCGCCGTGGAATTGCCACGTTGTAATTGCGTCACAATCTAGGTGCTTTTTTTTTTGGGGGGCTGGTTTGGATTAGGGCTGTTAATTGGGTGACACGAGTTCGAGTCAAAAAAAAATTTAGTACATTAATAAATTTTATCATATTGAAATTATATCGTGTATGATCATATATAATTTATGGTATTAAAAAATAAAATTTTGGTAATACAAAAAATTTAACATATTTGTGGGTATTTTTATTATTATTGTGAATTTTTTTACTACTATTATATTAAAATAATAGTAAAAAGACCTATAAAAGTAATAAATCATTCATAAAAGTGGTCATTTTTTTTTACCAAAAAAGTAGGAAAAATAGTTACCACAATGGAGGTAAAAAAAACCACAAAACTAGTAAATTATACACAAAAGTGATAATTTTTTTACTTGTAATATGATCTACAAAATTTATAAAAATACTTTTTGAAGTCATAAATTTTGAATGTATGGTCTGAAATTTTTTTGTCTGTACAATACTCAAGTCCATAATTTATATATAAATAATTCTTATCGTATATTTCTTTTAATTATTTCACTCAAATTCGATTTGTTCATCAATCGTATATAGTATTCATTCATTCCTAAAACAAGTTATTTATAACATGAATTGCTAAAATCTATGTTGCAATCTCGGGTTTCCCCCTTTTTAACTTTTCTTATTACAATTTACTACATTGCACCATTAATGGCATGATTTTAAATTTATCCTCATATTAGAAATTTGAATGCTGCTCTAAAATTCAAGCAAAAAGTATTTAAGTAGGCAAAGTTACTCTTAGATGCTCTTTGGAAGGACAATATTGATGCTTTTTGTAACTAATGGAGGATCTAATGCATTTATAATTATTAAAAATTAATACTCATACTTAATTTAGAGGTATAATCCGGAGACTTAATTAATTATAATAATTATTGAATCGCTAATTTTCACAACTAATCTAATAGTTGCAGTGAATTAGATCTTCAGATTAGATCCCTATAATATTATCCTATGATTAATAAATTAAGAGCAATAATATTGAGATTTAGTTTGGAGATCTAATTTCAAAACCTTATAACAATGGTCATTGAAGCCACTACTAGACTGCCAGCGTTAAATGATATACAACATCAATTCAGAGGTTATAATACACTAAAGTTTCCAAATTATATCTCTAATTATGTAAAAAATATTAATAATTCTTAGACTAATAATGAACTCCATTTCAACTATTAATCAAAAAAATCACACTATTCTTTAAGTTTTCGAATTAAATCTTCAAATTAAGTTTTTCTAACATTGCTCGTGCAAGTATATTTATACGATATTCGTTAATTAAAGTGTTTATCCTAATTTCCCATCAAGGGTAGAACATGGAAGATTACAAATTCTTATTTAATGTTACAAATACTAGTCGGGGAATAATCGTATGTACCTAAAAGTTAACTCTCCCAGTCTTTCGCTATCATAAACCTTATACACCACTTTGTGAATTCTTTCTAGATTTGGAATTTGAAAACTGCCCTCAAATCCAGGCAAGATGTATTTAATTGGACAATGTGGTTACCACAAGATATTTTGCAAGAGGAATATATCTAAATGGCTTTCTAAGAGGGATAAATTATATTTTGCCCCCCCTCAGCCAAAGTTATCTCCAATTTCCAAGGCATGGGGAGCTAATTACGATTATACCCTCACTCCTGTTTTTTATTTTCTCATCTTTCTTGAAATACCCATTCTACCCATCAAGTCCAGTTTGCTCCCAACATAATTCAACTGACATATTTCAAGTAACGCTATTGAGACTTAATTCATTGTATCTATTAAATTTATAATATCTTCCAATGTTAAATAACATCCGCAAATACAATTAGTGCATTTCCTTCAACAAAATAACCCAATTGCATAGGAGCTCCCAGAAAGAGAAAATGCAATCGGAGAACTACCACCATTTCTGAAGAAACTCCCAAGTAGGAATGACACCAACATAATCACACTTAAAGGTGGTAATCTTAACTCATTATCTATTAATTCGTCTAATTTGTCCATAAATAAATGGGTTGGATACCTATATTAATTAATATGAGTTCTAAATAAATTAAGTAATATGATTCGTTTTAATTAAGCGAGTTAATATGAATTACAAATGGGTATCAATTGGGTTGAGTATTTATCTTTTTATTAAATAACACAAATAATAAAATTAAATAAATATATTAATATAACAAAAAATAAACACACTATTACACCAAAAAATACACACATACACACTAATACACTAAAATATGCACACACTAGTACACAAAAAATACACACACTAATACACCATCCATGACCCACGGGTTGACCCATGACCAATGGATTGACCCGTGACCCATTGATCGACACATGACGCATGTGTCGACCCATGGCCCATGACCCACAACTAACTCATAGTCCACAATTGATCCCAACCCATTATGTGTGTATTTTTTTATTAAATGTGTTTTAGTTTTTGTGTTAGTATATGTGTGTGCATTTTTAGTGTATTAGTGTGTATATTTTTAATATATTAATTTGTGTTTGTTTTGGTGTATTTGTGTGTGTGTTTGTATTTTGGTGTATTATTAATATGTGTGTGTTTTGGTATATTAATGTATCTATTAAGAATTTTAATTATTTTATGGGTTAATTAGTTTAATCCAACTCATTATAACCCATTTACTACGTAAGTGAAAAATTGATTGAATTTATTTTAACCTAATCCAATTTAACCCAACCCAACCCATAATCAACCCAACCCACCCATTTGACATCTCTAATCACACTGTTAATTTGGGATATGGTCTGAAGTAGAGAAACACCCACAGACCACAGGTAGCAACAACGAAAATTTGAGACAGAGACTTCCTAAAAGGACTTCCAATCCTAGTATATCCTAATAATTTCCCATTGCAAGAATAAACACCAATGATGACAAATGTTTATCCATCCAACCAAATGATAAATAACAAGTATGAATCCAATAATCAAGCTACTTGACTCCACAATTACCTGTTTTGTAGACAGAGTGGGCTTTGCAACCAAGTTACGGCTATGGGGTATGGCGGCCGGGAGGGGATAAATGGTGTGAGACTCCTACCTCTGTTCCTCTGCTAATTTTTTTCTCCTTCGTAAGGGAAGTGACTGTGTTCCTTTTGGTTGACCCATTTAGTTTTTGCAGTTTTCATCTTAAAAGGTGTTATAGTTAAAAAAAAAAAAAAATCATATATGGTGTTTGATCAAAAAAGACATATATGTTGCTAGTATCTTGACTGACTTGCTAGTATCTGACTTATACTCCTTTCTACGCCAAACTCTGGTTCTGCTCAAGCACCTAAAATGCAAAAATAGCTCAAAAAAAATAAAATTAGGGTATGTTCATGCATTAATTCAAAGTAATAGTTTAAGTGGTAATATGATTTTAAAAATAATTCAAGTGGTACTAAAGCTGAATTATAAATCTAAACGTTTTAAGTTCGAATCTTAGTACTCTCTAATTTCAAAATGAATGACCAAATTTTTATTATATAAAAAAAAAAAAAAAATAGGTGAGGTAGGCAGCAATTTAACTGGACACCCTCAACTGTTAAAAAAAAAAAATCAAGTCACATCAAATGAAACTGCAGCTGAATTTCAACACAAACAGAACTTTTATATAAAACTTCATATGAACTTCTGCACATACATATATTTACACCTGTATTTACACATCATCCCACAGATACACAAACATGACTGTACGGAACTCTTTGAAGGCAAATGAAACTCCTAAACAAAACCTTAAAATACCTTACAAAAACAACTGACCCAAGCTACCGCTTTATCACATTTAGTCGACCTCTTCGATCTTAGGTCCAGCACCACCACCAGACCCACCACTACCACCATATCCACCACCAGGCATGCCTTCACCCATAGGCATACCACCACCACCCTGATACATCTTGGAAATAATGGGATTGCATATATTCTCCAACTCCTTCAATTTATCCTCAAGCTCATCAACTTCAGCCAACTGGTTCCTATCCAACCACTCTATCGTCTCCTGCACCGCCTTCTCAATCTTCTCCTTGTCCGCCAGATCAAGTTTACCGGCAAATTTCTCATCCTTCACAGTATTCCTCATATTATAGGCGTAATTCTCCAACGCATTCCTCGCCTCCACTTTCCTCTTCACATCCTCATCTTCAGCCTTGTACCTCTCAGCATCTTTCACCATCTTCTCAATATCATCTTTGCTCAATCTTCCCTTTTCATTTGTAATGGTGATCTTGTTCTTCACACAAGCAGTTTTATCCTCTGCAGTCACATTCAATATACCATTTGCATCAATGTCAAAGCTCACATTGATCTGCGGCACACCTCTGGGCGCTGGAGGAATACCCTTGAGCTCAAACTGCCCAAGAAGATTGTTATCTCGTGTTCTTGCTCTCTCACCTTCATACACCTGAATCAAAACACCAGGCTGATTATCTGAATAAGTAGAGAAGATTTGCTCTTTCTTGGTTGGGATTGTAGTGTTTCTTGGGATCAAAGTCGTCATGACACCACCAGCGGTCTCTAGCCCAAGGCTCAATGGTGCAACATCAAGCAACAACAAGTCCTGAACCTTCTGATCCCCTTCTTCTGTTAGAATTGCAGCTTGAATGGCTGCACCATAAGCCACTGCCTCATCAGGATTGATACTCTTGCAAAGCTCCTTCCCATTGAAGAAATGCTGCAAAAGTTGTTGAATTTTTGAAATTCTAGTCGACCCACCAACAAGAACCACCTCATGAACTTGCCTTCTATCAATCTTGGCATCCCTTAAAACCTTCTCCACTGGCTCCATACACCTCAAGAGCAAATCCATACATAACTCCTCATACCTTGCCCGTGTAATAATGGTGTAAAAATCGATCCCTTGATACAAAGAATCAACCTCAATGGTAGTCTGAGTGGTCGATGACAAAGCCCGCTTGGCTCTTTCACAAGCATTCTTCAACCTCCTCAAAGCCCTGGCACTCCCACTAATATCCTTCTTATTTTTCCTTTTAAACTCAGCCACACAATGGTTCACAAGCCTATTATCAAAATCTTCACCCCCCAAATGGGTATCACCAGCAGTTGCCTTAACTTCAAATATACCCTCTTCAATCGTCAACAAAGAAACATCAAAAGTCCCACCACCAAGATCGAAAATAAGCACATTTTCCTCACCTTTCCTCGAAGCTTTCTTGTCCAAACCGTAGGCTAAGGCCGCAGCAGTGGGCTCATTGATAATCCTCATCACAGTCAGCCCAGCTATTGCACCAGCGTCCTTGGTGGCTTGCCTCTGAGAGTCATTGAAGTAAGCAGGCACAGTGATCACAGAGTTATTCACAGGATGACCCAGAAAGGCCTCACAATATTCCTTCATCTTCGCCAAGATCATAGACGATATTTCTTCAGGGGAAAAGAGTTTCTCTTCGCCTTTGTATCGAACAGCTATCATGGGTTTGTCACCTGGGCCAGGAACGACCTTGAACGGCCAGAGCTTTATATCGTTTTGGACTGATGGGTCAGAGAAACGCCGGCCAATCAAGCGTTTAACTTCGAAGATGGTGTTGGTTGGGTTCATGGCTGCTTGGTTTTTCGCAGCTTCGCCGACGAGTCGTTTGGTGTCAGTGAAGGCTACAACGGAGGGGGTTGTGCGGTTGCCTTGGTCGTTGGGTACGATCTCGACGCGGTCGTTTAGCCATACGCCGACGCAACTGTATGTTGTGCCCAAGTCTATGCCTATTCCCTTGCCTTCTTTCGCCGTCGCCATGACTAATGAAAACTTTGCAGAAACTGTGAACAAGTAAAAGGTTTTTTGATGAAAGTTTGCAGAAACTGTGAACAAGTGAAGGTTTTTTTGGTTGATTAGCTTCGGGTAGATTCACTGTGTAAGGAAAAAAGTGAGATGTGTTTGGGAAGAAATGGGAGTATATATAGGTATTTTTTAAGATACTTTGAGAATATTCAAGAAGAGGATTGTTCTTGAAAAAGCTTGAAGAAAGAAGAGCGGGTAATATATACTAGTGACGGGCCTACAGAATTCCCGAGAAGAGAAGTAGAACGTTGTAATTTCCCCCACCCTAGAAAAACGAGAAAAAAAAGAGTTAATATTGGTCCGAATTTTAATTTGTAAATTCAAATATTAAAAATCTCAATTTATATTCTCAAAAATAAAAATTTCTATCAATATACACCTCAAATTAATAGCCGTCAGTTTATCATTTAAAACTAAATAGATAAATTAAACTTAAATTCCTTCATGCTTGTCACTTAATCACCTAAATTTCTCACATTTGAAATATTACATCTACATTCTTTGAGAATTCAAATATGACTACAAATATTCCCTAAATTGGACATTCAAATAATTCTATTTAAGTGATATATTACATTAGATATAAAGAATATTATATAAATACCTGTATTATATTAGACATTCAAATGGTAAGCTTAATTTTGAACTTTAGAGTATAACGGGTCCACAAAATAAAGGGTAGTATGAAATTATAATTTTTTATTAGAATAAAATTATATTTTTTAACGATTATATTAACATATATCAACGATAAGGGTTATGTATTACACGTACACAAACGTTAAGAGGAGTAGAAGTAATATTCTAAATGTGAGGTGTCCAAATAATTAAGCGACAAGTATGAGGGAATCTAAGTATAATTTATCTATTTAATTTTATACGACAAATTGAGAACTGTTAGTTTCAATTATGCATTGATATAAATTTTTATCTTTAAGAGTGAAAATTGAGATTTTTTATCTTTTAGGATACAAATTAAAATTTAAATTATCTTTTGGGGTATAATTTATAATTGTCTAAGATATATTTTAGTAAAATCTTCATTTGCACTCTCTCTAAATAGACATATCTTTAATGAGATCCTCTCTATTTTATCAATTTTTTACGTTTTAAAATTTGGGCTAATTAAAATTCAATTCGAGCCGATTAAAATTCATTTTTAATTAGCTTAAATCAAATTTTAATCAACTCACATTGAATTTTAATCGAATCGAATTTTGATAAGTAAAAATAAATAAATTTCAATCAACTTACATTTTAATACGTAAAAAAAATTTAATCAACTTGAATTGAATTTTAATTGATTTGAATTTTAAAAAGTAAAAAAATATAAATTTTAATCAGTGTTAACAGCTCAAATTTTCTAGAATTTTAAAACGATTTTTTTTTAAAGGCTAAAATTTTAATACTTAAAAAAATAAAATTTAATTAGCTTGAATCAAATTTTAATATCTAGAATAATAAATTTTAATCTACTCAAATTTTGTGTAAAAAAATTATTTGGGGGTTTTATGTAGGGGCAATTTTAGTATTTCAGATGAATTTTTTTATTAGAAATTATGGTTTAACTATAAATGGTGTCAGTGATATTTTAAATAATAGAGAGAATGTCCTTAAGGATATGATAAATTAGAAGATGTGTAACTAAAATTTTGCCTAAATTTAAAATAAATAAAAAATTATTTTGATTTTAATTTTATCCGAAACAAATTAATCACATAACCAATATTATTGTGACCGTGATATATATTTAAAATAATTTGACGATTAAAATTTAAAACTATTTGTCATCGATTATTTGAATTTAAACCTAATATGTTATGGTCATGGATTGATTATATGTGTGAATTTAAAACTATTATGTTATATGGTCATGATTTTAGATTAAAAATGTTAATATTTGATCCGAGCCCAATTTGTCTAAAGAAAATTAAATTGAAATTCATATTTAATTTTTTGTAATTTAGTTTGATTGAATTATACTAATTAAATAAATTTTTTAGATAAGATTCCTATTTTAATTACCAATTATAAATTTAAGACCTATAGAATATTAAAAGTAAATTTGAATTAAAGTTTCTAACTTCGATTCAATATGAATCAATTAAATTTTAATCCAAATCAAATTATTATTTTTTCATATGTAATGATTAATCAATATTACAAATATCATATCATTATTTTATTAATAAATTACAAGTTCGAAATAAAAATATACTGGTTTTACAGACGGGGGTAATTTGGGAATATGGGGGTGCAAGTTTGGGTGGCGGTTAAAACGGTGATTGCCCTATCAGGCGGTATTGGGCAGTGGTGACGTGTTATATTTTGATCCCTTCATAACACCTGGCAACTTTAAGACCACTTTCTTCAATTCTCTACACTTTTCGTTCTTGGACCAGGCCTTAGAAATCAGAAACCATCAATTGGGCCTCCAATTGCAAACTTAGAAGGGCCTTAGGAGGCCGGTAATTTTTTTGTGAGCAAATGTCATTGAAACTTAATTTATTGACTTAATTTGTTGACTTAATTCATTATAACATTTGAATTAATTGTAGAGTCCATCAAACATTAGAACTTGGTATTGATCCAATGATTCTGCTAAAGCCACATTATTATGTTAGCAAATTATATCAGATTTTTAGGTCCAAATAGTATTACTCTTTTTTATAGATTTATTTGGATTTAAGTACATTTAAAAAATTTATTTCGGGATAAATCTATTTTGATCTACATTATTCAAAATATTCTTAATAGTTTTACTTAGTCAAAACTTATTTGAAACAAATTAATAACTCCTAAATTGGGAATTGTATTAGTATTAATAACTCATATCTTGAAAATTGTGTTAGCATTAAAATTATGCTCATATATATATATATTATAATTCAAATTTTAAAAGATAAATAAAATGACTTTTGTTATTCACGGTTAAGATTGCTTTAAATTTTACTTTAAAATTAATATAACGGCTAATATTAACATCATAAATTTAATAGGAAAAATAGGATTCTAAATGTGTATTTGGAGTGACTTTTAAAAGTAATTTTATAAATTATTTCTCATAAATACTCCCTCCGTTTCTAAATATCTGTCGTTTTACACAATTTTTTTTGTACCATAATATCTGTCGTTTTATGAAATCAAAGTATAATTAATATTTTTTCTTCCAAATTTACCCTTAACTTTTCAATGCATTAAATTAAGTGGAGGCTAAGTGTATTTCATATTCCTTTCATTCTCAATACGTATTGAATAAGGGTATTTTAATCTTGTACAATTATTTTTTACTCATATTACAACTATTTAATAGTTTCCTTTAATCCCTGTGCAAATATCTTAAACGACAGATATTTAGAAACGGATTGAATACTTTAAAAAAAAATAATATTTGAAATCGTCCCACCACCACCACCAACCCCACCGCCACCGCCATGGCCATGGCCACTGCCATCGCCGCAGCAGCCACTAACGCCGTCATTACTATCACTGTTTTCCACCACAACCATCATCATCTCTTATCACCACCACTACTGCCCACCACCTCTTACCCTCATTATAAATTAATGCTTAAATTCATTTATTTTTTCTCTGTATTTGTGATTTGATTTTTGATATGAATAAAAATATGTTTATTATTTATCATTTTTTAGTACTCTGTGTCTTCAGGTACATGCTATTTTTATTGAACATGTTACTTTTTGATATCTATTTTTTTGTTGAGCGTGTTATTATTTGATATTACTATTTTTTTTTGAGCGTGTTATTATATATATATACTAGAGGTAACTCGTGCCTAAATGCACGATACAATGTAAATGAATTTAAGATGAATTTTGGTGGTCGTTGAATGAGTCTATTTGAAACCGTTGAATTGGCTTATTGAAGCCCGTCCTATTTTATATTATAGATATATTAGTAATTGCTCGTGCCCGAATGCACTATATTACTTGTAAAAAAATATAAATATTTATTCATAAATAAATACAATGTCTAATATAATTTGAACACTACAGCGATCAAATTAATATTGTTCAATCTATATGCAGAACATATATAATCAAACTTTTATATAACAAAAGTCACGCTACAACTACTGTAACATATTAGTTCAAAAATCTAAAAAAATATAATTATTATTGATCAAACATTTACGATTTTATCATTTTTAATAAGTTTTATCTCAAATTTGAAAAAATTATAACTATTTGTGTTTTTTTAGGTTTCTACCTATAGTTTATAACCTTATCTTTGCACTATTTTTTCAATGTTTGTTTGTGTAACTTTTGTGAAGAAAACATTTAAAAGTTTCACGTTAATTCTAGTAAATGTAAAAAAATTAGTTAAGAAAATTAAAATCAATTTCTATTTCAGTTTATCTTAAATATTCGTAAAATTCAATCAAATTTAAGTTTAAGTAAAAATTTGTACTTTATACTTGACAGTCAAATTCAGCTCAATTCGAGTCTTTATCATAATTACATTAAATCGATAATTGAATTTAAGTTCGGATCAATTAACACTTTTATCTTAAACCTACAAATTAATTCTTATCTATTCTCGTTCACAGTGACACCATAATTGTTTTTTAATTTAATTATTCTTTATTATTTCTACAATCAATTTCAATTTGATTGCAACTTTGAATACTCGTAAAATTCAAACAAAGTTAAGTTTAAACAAATATATATATTTTATACTAGACAATCAAATTTAGCTGAATTCGAATCCTAATCATAATCAATTTGAACTGATAATCAAGTAAAATGAAAGAATTCTTGTAATTTTTGCGTAGGAAAAAAATTTGGAGGAATAGTTTTGATCATTTGATTAATAATCTTAAAACAATCTGACCCACAAAAAACTTAAGACCAACAATCATAGCTCCCTTAATATATAGATATATCACAAATTATATATATATATATATATTCTTTGCTTATTATACCATAATTACGTCAAATCGAGAATTAAATTTAAGTTCAACTTAATTAACACTTCTATTTTAAACCTATAAAATAATTCTTATCTATTTTCGTTCATAGTGACACCATAATTTTTTTTTATTTAATTATTCTTTATTGTTTTTACAATCAATTTCAACTTGACTTTAACTTTGAATACTCGTAAAAGTCAAGCAAAGTTAAATTTAAACAAATATATATGTATGTGTGTGTGTGTGTGTGTGTATATATATATATATATTATTCGTTTATTATATCATTTTAATATTATAATATTTTTATTTTAATACAAAATATGACCTATATTATAGTTATTCAACTTGTTTTGATGCAAAAAATCTGTATTTAGGGTTCATTTGTTTATTTAAAACTTTTAAAAATAATCCATAATTATGTAAAATGATAATTAATAACCTAATTAATGTGTAATATGAGATAGAGAGAGAGAGAGTTATGAGAGATATCGAAGTCTTAGAATTGTGGAACGAATAAAAGTCATGTTCAAAAATTTGGGAGAGGGAATTTAGCATTAGGACCATGGCATCAATAATCGTTAAACGATCTGAGCCACAATGTAAGTAAGAAGTGATAGAATTGAAGGGGGAGAATTCAATGTGAATAGTTTTGAGAGAGATATTGGTGACTGTTGGATGAGTCTATTTGAGACTGTCGGATGGACTTATTGAAGTCTGTGCTGTTTTATATTATAGATTATATAAATAGATATAGGATGATATATGTTAATAGACCTATATTTTGTTAGTGATAATCCTTATTATTGTATTATTATTTTTTTAATTTTAAATTAAGAGTTTGAATTACTTATTATATAGATTAGATTATATATATAGATATAGATATATATATATAGAGAGAGAGAGAGATAAATAGGATGACATATGTTAATGAACTTATATTTTATTAGAGATAATCCTTGTTATTAGAGTTTTAATATATTTTAGATATATTTTGTTTTTATTATATATATATAACTATCAAAGTCAATATCTCTTATGGTTTGAATGAGAATAAAGAGAGATAAAAAAGAATGTAGTAGAGTCTTGTAAAGATGTAGATATCTCTCCAATATTTTGGGGGATGAGGAGAGATAAAAGGAATCTAGTAGAATCTTGTAGAAATGTAGATTAATTAGGATTGTCAAATCAAAAATCTGAAAATGATCTGAGTCACAAAAAACTCAAGACAAACCAATATAGCTACTTTATTATATATATATATATATATGAGATAGAAAAACAATGTTAATGCTAACACAATTTTCAAGTTAGGTGTTGGTATATTTGAAAACATTAAAACTAACAATGATAGACAATATTTATAGTAGGGGGAATTATAAAATACATTTAAAAAATAATTTGAAGAGTTTTAAAATGTGTACTTATTGACAACTATTTGATTGAAAATAAGACTTAATGAAGTATAAGTTTGAATGTAGTATTCAAAGCCAAATAAATTCTACAAAAAAGTACTCACAGCCAATTATTCGAAAATTATTGATAATTGGAATAAAGTACATTAAATTAGAGTTAATTGGAAAAAAATATACAGAAAAAAATGTAGAGAAAAAAAATCCTTAATTTTATTTTTATTTGTGTCTAAGTACATATTTTAAATTTTTCTTTAACATTTGTGTCATTCCTTAATTCATGCGATTTTTTTTGTTGAAATTGATTTATTTTCAGGTTATATGTATGCATTAAAAATATCCTAAAGTAATGAAATATTTGATTCTTCCGTTTATTTTGAGGATAAATCAATTGATTTGAATTTTAAATTTTGCAACAGTATTTTTTGTTATTTTCTTATTCATCGGCATGTATGCCATTTATCAATACAAGTCTGAAAACATTATTTCATCTTTATCGTTCAATCTAAGCAATTAAAAGGTTTGAATTCATGACTCCATTAAGTTTATTTCTGTCATTTTAAAGGTAATTATTCTATTTTTTAATATGCGAACACCATAACCTTGTAATAATAACAATGTAATAATAGATTTATACAAAATATTGTACTATTATATTTTGTCAAACATATATTTGCATATAATTTCATTCAAATAGTCTATATTAGTTTTGTATTTGTTACAGTGTATTGTTACATTGTTTTTGTTACACTATAAGGAAAACACAATCAACAGTTAGGGGATACACATAGTTTATTCACATACAATGAATTAATATGGCAAAAACACATGGCAAAAACATCATATTTCACACAGGCCAACAATCCACTTTCAACAACTGGTTCTATTTATTCAAATGCTGAAGTTCATATGTATATTTAAATGACGAGCAAATTTTCAAAAAATAGATGTTGTTGACGATCTTACATCAAATGGGCTAACACATAAGATTTTTCCTTCAAAGACAAAACCCTATACACGTTCAGTGAACAATTTTAGGGCTTGTCGCTAAGGAAGATGGAGTGGCTTTTGGAGAGGTAGAATAAACCCAAACATTTTTAAAGGATGAAGCGCTTCGTGAATAAATATTCATATATTTCAGCTGTTAGCCATTATTATTGTGTATCTAAATAATTAGTTAAGATATATTTTTAAAACCGTTTTAGGAAAATAAATTTTAGAATAAAGAGATTAGAAAATAAATATTCTTAAATTTCAGCGATTAAGATAAATTATTTGTTATAATTTTTAGGAAAGAAAATTTTACAAAATGGACAGTTACATCTTTGTTTATCAGCAGTGTATTTTTTTTACAATTATGTCTAATTTGGTGCATCGCTTTCTAAAAGATCCAAAAATTATTTAGCAATATAATATATTTTTTTATTATTAATAATTGTATGTGATTTTTAATTATCCCAAAGAAAAAAAAAAAAGAAAGAGGAAAATTTCAAAATTGTAAGTGGCTTTGTGGGTGTGGGGGGGAGTAAAGAGAGACAGATAGACAGAGCGGCAGAAAATGGATAAGGTCGGGTACTACTGTTAAACTCCATAGTCGAACGCCATGGCTGGTCTCACCAGCACCTTCCCCTTTAAACCCCTACTCTCCAAACCCAAACCATCACCATCACCTCCACTTTCTCTATCTTTATTCGACTCCAAACTCTTCGGCCTCCGCCTACCCAATTCTAATTCATTCACTTCCGCCTCTCCCATTTCATCTGCCTCCCCAGTGTCCATCTCAGCCCGCTACGGCGGAGGCGGCGGAGGTTCTTTCCGGACGGGGCCCAGGGACTACCAGCGGTCTCGCTCCGATGAAGATCCATCTCTTGATATGTCCACTATAAGGTATTAACAGCTTCGTTGTCAAAAAATTGAGCTGTTATTAGGTTTCTGCATCGGTTTTTATTTATTTATTTCGCTTTTGATGACTTGGAACAGGTCAGATAGTGTGAGGCTCATTGATGAAAATCAAAACATGGTCAGTACTTATACACTCATATCAAATTATTGTTTATGTCAAAATAATGCTATAAAAGAAATTCTTGTAAATTTATATAACATTGTGAAATGGGTTGTGTTTTTTTTTCTCTGTATAGGTTGGAATAGTGTCTAAAAGTGAAGCTCTTCAAATGGTTGAAGATGCTGAGCTTGACCTGGTATGTTCCCAAATTGACTTTGTAAATTCTAATGTTTTTGCCTCTTGAATAATGTGGTAACCATAATCTAAGACAGAGTTGAATGAATTACTGTATTCTCCAATTTTATTGAACTATGCTCACAACATATGCTTCCTTTTGAAGGGAGCATTAAGGATTCTTAATCATCCAGTCTCTTGTTTTCAATGACCACATAGCATTGGCATTATTTTTTATATAATCAATTCGTGGGTTTGGTTGGGGCCGGGAAGGCCTTTTGTTTATATTTTTAGCTAATGTTTTGAGTGGTGGTGATGGTTTTTTCCTGCATTTATGGTGCTTAAATACATGTGCAAGCACATGAATATGCATTGTGTTTTTCTTCCATGAGGAAGAAAACAAAGAAGGATATATTAGCTTTGACCAATAAAATTACAGACTTTTTTGGGACCGGCATGGGGGGAGCCACTTAAGGTATAAGAGGGCAGAAACGCAAGATAATAAAAATTAGGCATGGATCAGAATTGGTGAGACATCTTTTACTTGCGTGCTTTCTGGTTTGTATTATTTGTCATGATCTGATAATTCATCTATTGCTCGTATGTTCTAATCATTTTTTTATCCCGGTTTGTTGTAATGTCAATTTCTTTTGAAATTTAAATGATAGAGAGTTTTGTTGGGCTATTTTATCTTTTGTTGTTTCTCTGCTTCTGTTAGGGAATACTCGCAGCAAATTGGTCAATATAATAAAAAGAAAATAAATAAATAAAATAATCAAACCACACAAAGAAAGAACACTGATATTTTACGTGGTTCGGCAAAACTCTTGCTTACGTCCACGAGGCATGACCCTATCACTTTCTTCACTATTGATCAAAATTGAGTACAATAGTACAAGTCTCAATACTTGAATTTAATATCCCCAAACCCGAGTTGTTTATGTTAAGAATAGTAGGATAGTATGTGTAAATTGTTAATAGAAAGAGGGTGTATGCGTAATTCTTATTATTGTAGGTTAACTATAAATACAAGTGATGTATGATAGTTAAGTTAAGTTCTAACCTCTCTCTGTTTCTCCCTAAATATTGTTTTTAATATTATATTAATCTTCCAAACTTAACATGGTATCAGAGCAAAGTTACAATCCTAAATATATTTGTTGACTATATTTGTGGTCTGTTTGTGGTGGTGTTACTGTTGTTTGTCGAAGCTACAGTGGTGGTGGTACTGGTGTTACTGATTGTTCGTCGAAGCAACAGTGGTGGTGGTATAGTTGTTGTGGTGTTGTCGCTGATTGATCATCGTTCGACGTCGTCGTGTGTGACCATCGTGGTGGTTGCTGTTCATTGCGGTGGTGATTGCACAGTCGAAGACTAGGGTTGGTGTGGCGTCGTCGTGGGTGGCCATTGTGGTGGTGGTTGCATAGTCGAAGACTAGGATTGCTAGAACCCTAATCGAGGAAGAAGAAAGGGTCCAGACCCGATTCCATCAACATGTTTAAATTGTTTTAAGCCCAATCCAATCAGGTCCATCAGTTTACGGGTTTGGGTAGATCCTGATCCAAGATCCAGGCCCAGACCAGACTAGACGACCAGACCGGTCTTGGTCCGATTCAGTCTGTTTTTAGACTGGTTTAGTGGTCCAGTGAGCTTCTCTGGTCCGATTCAGTGTTCCAGTGGGTTTCTTTTTCCATTTGCTGCACTTATGAAACCCAAACATGATACTGGGTTAGTTACTATTACACGAGACGAGTATGCTCAGTTCTTGTCCCAACAACAGGCTATCCCATCTTCTTCCACTACTACTTTTGCCCAGTCAGGTAATGCTTCCACTTGTTTATTGTCCTCCACTCGCAGTCCCTGGATCATGGATTCTGGCGCTTCTGACCACATGACTGGTGCGTTTGATGTTTTTTTTACTTATCAGTCCGTTACTTCCACACGTTGTGTTACTCTTGATAATGGTACTTGTTCTAAAATTTTAGGTCTGGGAACTACTCACTTGAGTCCTGATATGTCTCTATCTTCTGTGTTATTTGTTCTTCAGTTTTCTTTTAGTTTACTTTTCATTAGCAAGATTACCCGTTCTCTCAATTGTTCTGTAACCTTTTATCCCTTTTATTGTGTTTTTTAGGATCTCAAGACAAAGAGGAAGATTGGTATAGGTCATGAAGCCGGTGGTCTATATTACCTTGACTTTAATTCACCTACCCGGGCTCTACAAACCTCGTTGTCTCCTTTTCAATGGCATTGTCGTCTTGGACATCCCTCTCTCCAAAATCTGAAGCGTCAAGTTCCCAGTCTTAGTTATGTGTCATCTTTGTCTTGTGAAACTTGTCAACTTAGTAAACATCACTGTGTCATTTCAGTTTAGAGTCCATAATCGTGTGTCTAGTCCATTTGAGTTAGTACATTTTGATGTATGGAGTCCAATAAAGAATATTTCATCTAATAAATATCCTTATTTTGTGACATTTGTAGATAATTATTTTCGTGAGATTTGATTATTTTTGATGAAAACTCGGTCTGAATTATTCTCTATATTTGAGACCTTTCGTAAGGAAATAAAAACTCAATATGGTTGTCGTATACGTACTTTACGTTCCGATAATGCTTGAGAATATGAATTTGATCCTTTTTCAGCTTATCTTAGTAAAACTGACATTATTCATCAGACTTCTTGTGCTTATACCTCTCCCCAGAATGGTGTTGCTGAACGCAAGAACCGTCATTTGTTGGAAGTCAACCGTGCCCTGTTATTCCAGATGAATATTCCCCGATATTTTTTAAGTGATACTATTCTTACTGCTTGTCATCTTATTAATCGTATGCCATCCTCTGTGTTAAATGGGTAAAGTCCATATTCTGTTCTTTTTTCTGGTAAGCTTTTATTTTTCCTGACTTCTAAGGTTTTTGGATGTGTCTGTTATGTTCACAATTTAGGTCCTGGGTTTGACAAACTTGACCCTCGAACTACCAAATATGTATTTCTTGGTTACTCCCGCACGCAGAAGGGGTATCGTTGCTACAGTCTTTCTCTGCACCGATACTTCACCAGTGCTGATGTCACGTTTGAAGAATCTGTTCCATACTTTCCAGCACCTTCTTAGCCTTTGGATCTAGATTTTAGATCATCTCCTGTACCACTATATTCAGATATTCCGCTGTTCACTGTGTTCCCATCTATTTTACCTCTCCGTGTCTACTTTCGCCATCCTCGTCTATCGACTGAGGTGCCCATATCGTCTTCCTTGCCGCCTTCTGATCCTGGTACATCAGGTAATTTAGACTCTTTACTTATTGTTCTCCGCAAAGGTACTCGTTCGTGTGTTACTAATCATCCTATTTCTCATTTTGTTTCATATGATACCTTGTCTCTTGTTTTCTCTTATTTTACTACCCAATTATATGCTATATCTATTCCTAAGCATTTACAGGATGCATTATCTGATCTAGGTTGGAGGAAAGCTATAGAGGAGGAGATGAATGCTTTACATCATAATGGGACTTGGGATCTCGTTCCTTTACCCCTCGGTAAACGAATTGTTGGCTGTCGTTGGGTGTATATTGTTAAATTTCATTCAGATGGTTCTGTGGAGCGTCTCAAAGCCCGACTTGTTGCAAAGGGCTTTACTCAGACTTATGATGTTGATTATGAGGAGACTTTCTCTCCTGTTGCCAAAATTTTTTCTGTTCGTATCTTGATTTCTTTAGCTGCTAATCTTGATTTACCCTTGTTTCAGTTAGACGTCAAGAATACCTTCCTACATGGTTACTTGGTTGAAGAGGTATACATGGAACAACTACTTGGGTTTACTGCTCAGGGGGGAGTATGGTAAGAGTGTATGTCGATTAAAAAAATCTTTGTATGGTTTAAAGTAGTCACCGAGGGCATGGTTTGGTAAATTTTCAGATGCAATTTTAAAGTTTGGTCTTTTTCGATGTTAGACAGATTATTCTGTGTTTTATAGACAGACAGATGCTGGATATGTCCTATTGGTGGTCTATGTAGATGATATTGTGATTACTGGAAATGATTTTGAGGGGATTGTCAAGTTAAAAATATTCTTACAGGATTGATTTCATACTAAGGATTTGATAAAACTCAGGTATTTCTTGGATATTGAGGTGACTTGATTTAAACAGGGTATTTGTTTATCCCAGAGGAAATATGTACTTGACATGCTTGAGGAAGCAGGTTTGCTGGGTGGTAGACCGATTGATGTTCTTATGGATCCGAATTAGAAATTATTGATGGATGATGGTGCATTGTTTGAGAATCCAGGTCGATATCGCAGATTGGTTGAGAAGCTTAATTATCTCATTATTATTCGACCGGATATTTCCTATGCAGTCAGTATAGTAAGTCAGTTTATTGGATGTCCTAGAGTACCACATTGGGAGGCAGTTACTCGTATTCTGCGATATCTCGAACTCACTCCTGGACTTAGACTGTTTTATCGAGCTAATGGACATCTTAGAGTGGAAGGTTTCTTTGATGCTGATTGGGCTGACTCTCCTTCTGATCGGAGATCAACCACTGGTTATTGTACTTTCTTAGGAGGTAATGTTGTCTCATGGAAAAGTAAGAAACAACTTGTGATAGCAAGATCTAGTGCTGAGGCTGAGTATAGGGCAATGACACATACGACGAGTGAGTTGACTTGGCTACTACACTTCCTCCAGGAAATTGGGTTTCCAGTTCAACTTCCTTTATAGTTGTTCTGTGACAACCAGACAGCTATCTATATTGCTGCCAATCCTGTGTTTCACGAGAGAACCAAGCATATTGAGGTTGATTATCACTTTGTTCGGGATAAGATAGTAGCTGAGGAGATTACAACTCCATTTGTGAAATATGAAGATCAGCTTGCAGATATGTTTATCAAAGCATTGAGTCATACACGTCTTACAACTATTTGTTCCAACAGTCCACCGACATCGGATTTTCGTGTCGGACGGCACCGATCGTTGAATTCGAGCCACCTTTAGTCGTCTCTATCAACAATCTCCACCTTGGCGAGAATTCAACGATCTTGACTTGAAATCTCATGTTCACATCTTGGTACAGATACCCATCCCCAAGCCTTGGGATGTTAGATCAATCTAACAGTGCGAAAGATTGATCAAGTCCAAGCAATGCTTGAACATCTTAGAAGTGATCGGCTTTGTCATCATATTAGCTGGATTGTTGTCCATATGAACTTTCATCAAGTTCACCTTATTTACTTTCACCTATTCTCTGAGAGCATGATACCTCATGTTAATGTGCTTTGTCTTAACATGGTAATCTTGATTCATCGCCAAATGAATTGCACTTTGGCTGTCACAATACAACTCCAAGGTTTCCTGATTCAATCACTGTTCCTTGACCAAACCTATCAACCACAAAACATCCTTGGTAGTTTTCACCGTTGTCATGTATTTTGCTTCAGTTGTGAATAAAGCGAGAGTTGATTGAAGCATAGCTTGTCAACTGACAGGTCCAGCTGCAATTGTAAATACATAACCCGTAGTAGATCTCCTCTTGGCTAGATCACTTGTATAGTCTGTGTCAACATAGCTTATAACCTATCCTGTTCCATCGTGTATCTGATACAAGATACCAAAAGTCACCGTACTTGAATATCCATTTTACTGCATTCTAGTGCTCCTTGCTTGGATTATCTATGTACTTATTGACAATACTGATTGTCTGTGAGATGTTTAACGTACTGCAAACCATGACATACATTAGATTTTCCACAACACTGTTGTACATCATACGGGATATTTCCTTTATTTCATCATCTATAGAAGGACACAATTTAACAGATAATTTAAAGTGATTTGCTAGCAGAGTACTGACCAATTTAGAATTACCCACGCTAAGCCTCTCTAGCACCTTTTTCACATACTTCTTTTGTGATACCCACAATTTGTCTTTTTCCCAGTCCCTCTAGATTTTCATTCCAAAAATCTTTTTAGCAGCATCTAGATTCTTCATATCGAATTCCTTCCATATTCTAGACTTCAGCGAATTTAGCTCATGCATGTTATTTGAAGCAATTAATATGTTATTAGCATAAAACATCAGAATTATAAAAGAAGCTTTAAAATAAACATAACTATCTAAGTTGGATCTAAAGTCAAAGTTGCATATTTGTTGGTTAAAAAGTGTGAAAGAGTATAAATTTGGGATCTAGTTGCGCAGAAGGTTATTGTTAGCAAGAATGTTATCTTCAATGAAGAATATATGCTAAATTTAAAAAAGGAGGAATCCGATAAAGAGGTGGAGGCTCATGCAGATAAATACTCAGTTTAGGTGGAGCCAGATGTGACACATGGGCCTAGTGGAGAGGATGATGCACCAGCATCTTCTCAAGAAGATACATTTAGTAGTAATGTCAAGCAGTGAGAACTCACTACCTTTACTGTTGGAAGGGAGAAAAGGACCTATAAGACACCAGTTAGGTATGATTTTGAAGACATGATTTCTTTTGCATTAACTGTTGATAGTGGAGATCCGTCTTGTTTTCGGGAGACAGTCAAAAGTAAAGAAAGTGAAAAACGGATGCTAGCAATGATAGACGAAATGAAATCTCTATACTAGAATAACACTTGGGAGCTGGTTTGAAAAACCCAAGAGACAAAAAGTGATTGGTTACAACTTACAAATGGTTATATCGAAAAAAGAAAACCTACAACGAAAAATAAAAGAGAAAAGTTTAAGGCACGACATGTCGCCAAGGGTTATAGGCAAGTGGAAGGAATTGACTATAACAAAATTTTTTCTCCTGTTAAGCATTATTCTATTCGTGTTATATTAGCTATGATAGCTATATTTGACCTTGAATTACAGTAGCTTGACATCAAGACAACATTCTTTCATGGGAATTGGAGGAGAAAATATTTATGGAATAATCAGAAGGATTTAAGGAGCAAGGTAAGATCATATGATATGCAAGCTCAAAAGATCTTTTTACGAGTTGAAATAGTCTTTAAGACAATGGTATTGGAAGTTCGATTCCTTTATGGTTAATATTGGTTATATGAAGAGCAACTATGACAGTTGTATTTATTTTAAAATACTTGGTGATGTTTCTTTTGTAATTTTGATGTTTTATGTTGATGACATGTTAATTGTTTTGAATAACATACATGAGCTAAATTCATTGAAGTCTAAATTATGGAAGAAATTTGATATGAAGGATCTAAGCGTTACTAAAAATATCCTTGGAGTGAAAATCCGAAGGAATAGAGAAAAAGACAAACTATGGGTATCACAAAAGAAGTATGTGGAGAAGGTCTTAGAGAAGTTTAGCATGGGTAATTCTAAATCGGTCAGTACTCCTTTAGCTAACCACTTTAAATTATCTGTTAGATCGTGTGCTTCTATGGATGATGAATTGGAGAAAATGTCATGGTTTTCATTAGGCCAGACATCTCACAGGCAGTCAATATTGTCAATCAATACATGGATAATCCGGGTAAGGAGCAATAGAATGCAGTAAAATGGATATTCAGGTACAGAGAATTTTGGTATTTTGTATCAGAGACACGATGAACCAGGATAGGTTGTGGGTTATGTTGATGCAGACTCTGCAGGTGATCTGGACAAGAGGAAATCTACTATAGGTTACATATTTACACTTGTAGGTGGACCTATCGGTTAAAAACTATGCTTCAATCAAATCCTGCTTTATCCACAACTGAAACGGAATACATGACAACGGTGGAAGCTGCCAAAGAAGATTGGTGGTTGACAGATTTGGTCAAGGAATTGGGATTGAAGCAGGAAAGCTTGGAGTTGTATTGTAACAGTCAAAGTGCAATTCATTTGACGAGAAATCAAGTTTACCATGCCAGGACAAAACACATTGACGTGAGGTATTATGCTCTTAGAGAATGGGTGGAAGAAGGTAAGGTGAACTTGATGAAAGTTCATACGGACAACAATGTAGCTGATATGACGACAAAACTGGTCACTTCTCAGAAGTTCAAGCATTACTTGGACTTGATCAATCTTTCGCACTATTAGATTGATGTAACATCTGGAGGCATGGGGATAGACATCTGTACTAAGATGCGGACATAAGGTTTTAGGTGGAAGTCATTGAATTTTTGCCAAGGTCGAGATTGTTGATAGAGGCGGCTAAAGGTGACTCTAATTCAAAGATTGGCGCTGTCCGACAAGAAAATCCGGCGCCAATATGTGGTGTTGGTGGCGTTGTCAGTGGGCACGATGTGTTGACGCTAGAAGACAAGGAACTGCATGGAAGTTTTCTGTGGAGAAAGCTGCAGAAACGTTAAGGAGGAAGAAAAATGCTGGTTTGAAAATCTGATTTTTTTTGGGCCAAAAAGCATTGGCCTTAAAGTTCCTCTTCTTTACGAAATTGCCATAAGAGCTTTACCTATAAATAGGCACTGGGATTTCACTTTCAAGGCATCTGAATTTTGCTTGAAATCAGAGTGTGTAGTGAGAGTCCAATAATAAAGCTCTTTGTTGTATTTTCATATTGAGTGGGTGAGAATTGAGTGGAGTGTAAAAATCTCGGGTTTGGGATATTAAACTCGAGTGGTGAGGCTTGTACTGTTGTACTCAATTTTGCTCAATATTGAAGAAGGTGACCGAATTATGCCTTGTGGACATAGGATGAAATTTTGCCGAACCGCATAAATTTCGGTGTTCTTTCTTTGTGCTTTTATTTAATTATTTAATTTATTTTTTCGTCATTCTAGTGACCAATTTGCTGCCAGTATTTTGGCAACAATACATATATCTTTGGTGATTTTAGTGTCCATGAGAAAAACCTCTTTAGGTGGGGTAAGGCGCTTCTTGTTTAATTGAGGATGTGATTTCTGTTTGGCGTGCTACTCTCTGATGAATTAGACATTAGATATATTCATATTCAGTCTCACTGTGAATTTAGGTTTTGTTTGGATTTACAATTTTAGTGGTTTAAATCTCTTGTTAAATGTTACCTCAAAACTGAGGCATTATAGGATCACTTAATAAGTGTCCACTGCATCGGACCTACTTTTCTTCGTACCCCAATGATAATATAATCACTGACTGGGCCACATTGCTTGCATAAAGATTTGAAACTCTTTGTTGATGCACAAAATCTGTTCCTTTCCTCTTAGTTTAAATACGTGCTAAGATGTGATCTGGTTAATTTACATGTTAGAAGGGCAAGGAGGAGTTGATACATAAATGGTTCAAAGACTGAGTGAATACATAATAATGAACCGAGTAGTCCAGTTTATAGTTATGAACTATTGAGGCCAATAGCTTAAATTATGAACCAAGTAGTCCAGGTTACAATTATGAACTATCAAGGCCAATATTGTTTATATGTGTTTACTGTTTTTGTTTTTTTAATACGTTCCATTGCAAGTCGTAATTTGGACAGTCTCATTGATTTGTGCCATTTGTTTATTCCAGATGCTTGTAGCATTGGTCCTGATAAGCCCCAATTCATTGCTTCTTCTCCACTTCCTAAAAAGGAAAATTTTATTTTATAATTTCTTATATGCCATCAGAATAATGGTAGCAGTCTGCTTAAAGACTTCTTTGTCTGTCATTTTTGTAGGTAATATTATCTCCCGATGCAGATCCTCCAGTTGTCAGGATAATGGATTACAAGTGAGATATATCTTCTGATTCTTGTTTCTGCTTGTTATATGAATTCGTTTGATTACTCCAGGGATAAACCCAATCTGGATAGTAGGTGTATTTCCTGCTGCTATGAAATCTATTGGCAAAGTGACTTTGGTTTAAACACAGGGGGTTCTTTTGTGTGGCATAGGTGGTCAGATTCGGTAGTTCGTAGTGATTAAATTGTGCTGTTTTTAGCAATTAGTAACAAACAAAAATCTTTGTATATCTGCATGATGACTCAATGAGTGAGATTCCTTGGTGGACTAAGAATGTTGATCCTTTTATCTATTTTCTGTTAGTTTTTTTTAGGCTTTTGCAAACCATCCTCAAGGTATGCAAATTCCGAATATTGTAAATTCTGTTTGGATTTCTGTTCATTGTCAGTTTTTTTGTGGGTGTTTATCCCATTGTAGTGGTAGTTACATTTTGAGGATTGCAGGGTGCTCATATTTTTGAAATCTTCAAATATATGCGAATTTGAGTCTTATCCGTCACTTCTACATCTTAAAGATACCATTTCGGATACTCTAATTAGGGGCATTGAGAACCAAAAATTCAAATTTGTCACGTGGAAAGGAACACTGTAATGTTAATAACGATCACTATCTTAGTTTATGCTCCCAATGTCTTGTTCTCTTTTATATAAAATTCTTTTGAATTGTTAAATCCAGATGCATATTGATATGCCGTTTTTCTACTCTTGCAGTAAATATAGATATGAGCTACAAAAGAAGAAAAGGGGACAGCAGAAGAAAAGTGCTGGTGAATAGCTTTTCCGTATAGCATTTTTCTCTTTTCTTATTCATGCACAATTCCAGTTATGAGGAAGAATACTGACCAATTTCTGCACCTGAATGTTAGCCTCCCGCATGGATTTGAAGGAGCTCAAGATGGGGTAGGGATCCCAAGTCTTTAACATCTTAATTTTTCTTGCAATTTTGTCATTGGAACTTTCTGTGATCTCTTTTCGCTTGATCTCTCATCATTGGATAGCTACTGATTAAAACTTCACTTTATCACTGTGCTACTCTTGCATGTTGTTACCCTACCTTCTGTTACATTCTGTTTTGAAATATTTTTAGTAAAGCTTATGTTCTGTGTGATTTTGTGGACATTAATATACTTGGAGAATATGAAATAACACATGAAAGTAATAGAATACACGTACATAGATTTGTCCTTGCATATCCTCTTTAATAATGGCTGTAAGGCCCAAGGGAGGTGTAATAGCAAAATTCTGTATCAGGTTTCCAAAAGATTCTTGTGCGCTAGTTGCTGATGATCAGATCGACCGATCTAAAATTGGACATTTGCATTTCTTAAATGCCAAATTTAGCTATAAGAAACATTAATCCATCCAGTCTTGTATATTAATGCGCTGGTGTCTGAATTATCCTCTTTTGTTAAAAAGGAAAATAAATCTAGCGTGTAAGAGTATTAGGGTATTATGTGTAAATTGTTAAGAGTATTAGGGTAGTATGTGTAAATATTAGAGGGTGTATTTGTCTTAAGTTAACTATAAATACAAGTGATGTATGAGAGGTAGGTTAAGTTTTGACCCCTCTCTTTCTCTCTAATATTGTCACTAATATTGTGTTAACTCTCTCAACTTAACATGGTATCAGAGCAAAAACAATATATATATTAGTTCTGGGTTGCGGTTGTGTTGTGCTGTTCATCGTGGTTGTCTTGTCCAGTGGTGGTGGTAGTCGACTGGTGTGGTCGACGTTGGTGGTAGTCGACTGGTGTGATCAACGTTCGTTTTTGCTTCGTGGTGGATTTTGGTAGCTAGTTTTGCGTAATCGACTGATTGTTCGTGGTGGTGGCTTCTGGTTCTGCGCCAGTGGTGTAATCGACTGATTGTTTGTGGTGGTGGCTTCTGGTTCTGCGCCAGTGGTGTAATCGATTGTTTGTTGGGTGTTCATTGCCGTCGACGTTGAAGGAGAAGTTGACGTTGAAGGAGGAACATTAGGGTTTGTGCATTGGTGAAGAAGACAAGCCCAGCTCAGATCTAGATCCAAGTCAAAACCGAGTCCAAATCCAAATCCAAATCCAAATCCATACACAGATCCAGACTCAGATCTAGTAGCCTCAGACTAGACCGGTTTAGGCTCGGTTCAGGCCATGTTCAGTCAGTTTTAGACCGATTCAGGCAGTTTTAGACCGGTTCAGGCTGGTTCTATCTGTTTTGTCTCCGGTTTAGCGGTCCAGTGGACTTCTCTGGTTCGGTTCAGTGCTCCAGCTAGGTTCTCCAGCCCGGTTTGGTGATCCAGCAACCTTTTCTTCTTCTGTTTAGTAGTACAGTAGGTAATTCTTGTCCGGTTCAGTGATCTAGAGATTTCTTTTTTTTTATTTGTTGCATTACTATGGAACCCAATCAAGATGTTGTTGCTTCCATACTTCGGTCAGCTCCGCCAGACACTGGGTTTGTTACTATTACACGAGAGGAGTATACTCAGTTCTTATCCCAGGTTGTTCCATCTCCCTCCACTGCTACTTTTGCCCAATCAGGTATTATTTTCACTTGTTTATTGTCCTTCACTTGCAATCCCTGGACCATAGACTTTGGCACTTCTGACCACATGACTGGTGCGTCTGATGTTTTTTTTACTCATCAATTTTCTACTTCCACACGTAGTGTTACTTTTGCTAATGGTACTTGTGCTAAAGTTTTAGGTTTGGGGACTATTTACTTGAGTCTTGATATGTCCCTATCTTCCGTGTTATTTGTTCCTCAATTTCCTTTTAATTTACTTTCCATTAGCAAGATTACCTGTTTTTTTAATTGTTCTGTAACATTTTATCTCTCTTATTGTGTCTTTCAGGATCTCAAAACGAAGAGGAAGATTAGTACGGGGTATGAAGCTGGTGGCCTATATTACTTTGATTTTGATTCACGTACTCTGGCTCTACAGACCTCGTTATCTCCCTTTCAATGACATTGCGGTCTTTGACATCCCTCTCTTCAGAATTTGAAGCGTCAAGTTCCCATTCTTAGTTCTATGTTGTCTTTGTCTTGTGAAACTTGTCAACTTAGGAAGCATCACCATGTGTCTTTTCAGTCTAGAGTCAATAATCGTGTGTCTAGTCTATTTGAGCTGGTACATTCTAATGTATGGGGTCCAATAAAAAATATTTTATCTAATAAATATCCTTATTTTGTGTCATTTGTGGATGATTATTCTTGTGTAACTTGGTTATTTTTGATAAAAGCTCGTTCTGAATTATTCTCTATATTTGAGACCTTTCGCAAGGAAATAAAAATTCAGTATAGTTGTCGTATACGTATTTTACGTTCTGATAATGCTCAGGAATATGAATATGATTATTTTTCAGCTTATCAGACTTCTTGTGCGTACACCTCTCCATAGAATGGTGTTGCTGAACGCAAGAACCGTCATTTGTTGGAAGTCACCCGTGTCCTGTTATTCCAAATGAATATTCTTTGACATTTTTTGAGTGATTCTGTTCTTACTGTTTGTTATCTTATTAATCGTATGTCATCCTCTGTGTTAAATGGATAAAGTTCATATTCTGTTCTTTTTTCTGGTAAGCCCTTATTTTTCCTAACTTTTAAGGTTTTTGGATGTGTCTGTTATGTTCACAATCTGGTCTTGTTTTGATAAACTTGACCCTCGAGCAACTAAATGTGTATTTTTTGGATACTCTTGCACACAAAAGGGGCATCATTGATATAGTCCTTCTCTGCGACGATACTTTACTAGTGCCGATATCACGTTTGAGGAATTTGTTCCATATTTTTCAGCACCTGCTCAGCTTTTGGGTCGTCTCTTGTACCACCATCTCTTCCTTTATCTTCAGAAATTCTACTGTTTACTGTGTTACCATCTACTTTATCTCTTCGTGTATACTCTCGTCGTCTTTGCCCATCGATTGTGGTACCGGTACCATTTTCCTTGCTGTCTTCTAATCCTGGTACATCTGGTAATTTAGATTCTTTACCTCTGCTCTTCGAAAAGGTACTCGTTCGTGTGTTACTAATCATCCCATTGCTCATTATATTACATATGATGCCTTGTCACCTATCTTCTCTTGTTTTACCTCAATTATCTGCTATATCTATTCCTAAGCACTTACAGGATGTATTATTTGACCTTGGTTGGAGGAAAGTTATGGAAGAGGAGATGAATGCCTTACATCATAACGGGACTTGGGATCTCGTTCCTTTATCTCCTGATAAACGAACTGTTGGTTGTCGTTAAGTGTATACAGTTAAATTTCATCCGGATGGTTCTGTGGAGCGTCTTAAAGCCTGATTTGTTGCAAAGGGCTTTAGTCAGACCTATGGTGTTGATTATGAGGAGACTTTCTCTCTTGTTGCCAAAATTTTATTTGTTCGTATCTTGATTTCTTTGGTTGCTAATTTTGATTGACCCTTATTTCAGTTAGATGTCAAAAATGCCTTCCTACATGGTGACTTGGTTAAAGGGGTATAAATGGAGCAGCCACCTGAGTTTACTACTTAGGGGAAGTACGGTAAGAGTGTATGTCGGTTAAAGAAATTTTTGTATGGTTTGAAGCAGTCACCGAGGGCATGATTTGATAAGTTTTCAAATGTAGTTTTAGGGTGTGTTTGTTAACTCAAATTTAGCACTTAAAATAAATGTATTCTAACACTTATTAATTAAGTTCGTTTGATAACTAAAATTTAAATTCTCTTAATATATTAAGTGCTCCTTAAAAATAGGCTACAATATTAAGTAGTAGATCCCTTACTTAATTCTGAAAACTGAAAGCGCTCAGCAAAACCATCTTTAATAATATTTACAATATGACAATTATACTCTGAAATATTTTACAATCCTATTAAAACTCTAATTAGTCTTCTCTTCAAAACCCATAACCTATATTTTCTCCTTGTCAACGCAGCCATGCAGTGATCACAGAGCGAACTATTCTTTCGCCTTTTACTAAAGAATATCGTGTGTTCGTTACATATTGTGGCATACGCCTATTTTTGGAGAGTTTGTTCCAAGTGAATAAGCTCTAAAATATATATATATATATATATATATATTTTCCTTGTCGATCTCTTCTTTTCTTTTTCTTTTCCTTGTCTTATTAACAAAAATATACATATATAATCATAATTACATACACAAACGCACGCATTGCACACACACAATTACACACAGACATATGCACTGCACATACACATACTTACACACACACGGCGCACACACATATTGTTAATGAAATCTAATTTATTGTATTTTTTTTAATATTATTTGATTACTTATTAATTATTGTTCTTTTTTTTAATCATATGTTATTGTTCACTTATTGTGTTATTTAGATGTTATTTATTTATTTATTTTGATCAAATAGTTGTTAAATGTAGACTACAATATAATAATAGTGATTATGATTTATGTTATGACATATTTTATAAATATTTTTAAATTAAAGAGTGAAAGGGTAAAATTGATAATTAATTTATTTTCAGACGTCAACTCTATGTAGTTATCAAACAGTTTAGTTTAATTCAGTACTTAAATTTCAGTGAATATCAAATAATCCACAAATTCAACATTCAGCTTTCAGTTTTTAGACTTCAGCTTTCAGATTTTAGTTTTCAGTTTTATCAAACACCACTTTAGAGTTTGGTCTTCTTCGAAGTCAAACAGACCATTCTGTATTTCATAGACAGATGAATGTTGAAGACGTTCTATTGGTAGTCTATGTAGATGATATTGTGATTATTGGAAATGATTCTGAGGGGATTGCCAAGTTAAAAATCTTCTTGCAAGATCGATTTCATACTAAAGATTTGAAAAAACTCAGGTATTTCTTGGGTATTGAGGTGGCTTGATCTAAATAGGGAATTTGTTTATCTCAGAGAAAATATGTACTTGACATGCTAGAGGAAACAGGTTTGTTGGGTGACAGACCAATTGATGTTCCTATGGATCCAAATCAGAAACTGTTGATGGATGATAGTGCACTGTTTGGGAATTCGGATCGGTATCGCAGATTGGTTGGAAAGCTTAATTATCTCACTATTATTTAGCCAGATATTCCCTATGCAGTCAGTGTAGTAAGTCAATTTATGGAATGCCCTAGAGTACCGCATTGAGAGGCAGTTATTCGTATTCTGCGATATCTTAAACGTGTTGGTGACCTTGGACTGCTATATCGAGCTAATGAACATCTTTAGTGGAAGGTTTTTCAGATGTTGATTGGACTAACTCTCCTTATGATTGGAAATCAACTACTGGTTATTGTATTTTTTTAGGAGATAACTTTGTCTCATGAAAAAGTAAGAAACAATCTGTGGTAGCAAGATCCAATGTTGAGGTTGAGTATAGGGCAATGACGTATATGACGAGTGAGTTGGCTTGACTATTACACTTCCTCCAGAAAATTAGATTTTTGGTTCAACCTTCTTTACAGCTGTTCTGTGATAACCAGACAGCTATTCATACTGCTGCTAACCTAGTGTTTCACGAGAGAACCAAACATATTGAAGTTGATTATCATTTTATTCGAGATAAGATAGTAGTCAGAGAGATTACGACTCCATTTGTGAAATCTAAAAATCAGCTTGCAGATATGTTTACCAAAGCATTGAGTCGTACACCTCTTATAGTCATTTGTTCCAAACTTAAATTATATGATATATATAGTCCAGTTTGAGGGAGAGTGTTAAGAGTATTAGGATATTATATGTAAATTGTTAAGAGTATTAGGGTAGTATGTGTAAATATTAGAGGGTGTATTCATCTTTCTGATTATTGTAAGTTAACTATAAATACAAGTGATGTATGAGAGGTAGGTTAAGTTTTGACCCCTTTTTTTTCTCTCTAATATTTTTATAACTCTCTTAACTTAACATAGCGTTTATAGATTTTTTGATGCAGTAATTAGTATGAGCTCAGTCTTGTATTAAAACAGTTTAGAGTGTGCATAAGCACCCCTATATTGTTGTTTTGCATGTCAAAGCTATCTATGTCCCGGGCAACGTGTGAACTTTGTTTCCTTGGAACTCTTTATTGTACACAGGTCGAACATACGTTACACATAATAAATCTTTTTAGTTTCAATGGAAGTTAATAGAAATAACCTCTTTAACACTAGTAACAACAATCTATTTATGAATCAATTTTATGGCTATCACCTAGGAAGCATGGATACGGATATGACGATATGACCGAACATGAAAAAATAAGATTTAGGTACGGCTAGGATATATTTATAATAAAATATATTTTATATTTTACTATTATTTAATGACTTAAAAATTATAATTTTTAATCATTATTTAACAATAGTAAGCAAAATTAACAATTTTTACCTTGAAAAGGTATAATATCATTTTATTATGATATATTTATAAAGTGAATGTGACTAATTAAAGGAATCAGAATCAATATGTAACTAGTTGGTTTATTTACAAGTATTTATTTATAAGATTATAGTGTAACTAACTCATTTTTTTTATACTCTTTTGACATTTGATAGTAGATAATACTAAAAAAAGCACTCATAATCTTCAAAATCAAATGAAATTTTTTTGATATATTGTATTGTATGTGAACTCGAAAGGAGAGGGTATAAATTAAAATTAAAAATTGTACATCTTGTTCTACTTTGTAGAAGTATCCGCAAAATATCCACACATTTTAATAATTTATTGGATACGTATGGTGCATATCAAAGATATGTAGTATCCAACAAGTATCGTATCTGATATAGTATCCAATACGAGTATGTCGACATTGACAAAGTACCCATGCTTTATAGCCATCATGTTGTGTGAAAGGGTAGATGTGGTTTTCTACTTCTGAGTTGTAACTTCTACAGGGCTTCCTTTCTTTAATACTGAAGCTAGCCCCTCTGTTTGTCTGTCTTTCTGCGTACCTGCCCCCCCCTCTCTCTATCTCACACACACACGCAGACACAAAATATCTATATATACTTTTCAAATTCTTGTAGTTTAGAATTTAGGAAATTGAAGTCATTTTTCTTGCTACTTATCACATTAACTTGTATTTAATTGTTTCTATTGATTCTTGTCCACAGTTACAACATTGATGTGCATGATTATTCTGTGCGCTTGAAGTCTGCTCAAAAGTTTTTGAAAGATGGTGACAAGGTTGATCATTTCTCATGACAGCACATACCTGATAACCACAAACAGATGCATGCATCTTATTAATGGCTTTTGATGTTGCCATATTAATTCTTAACATAAAGTAAATACCTGCAGGTTAAGGTTATGGTGAATTTGAAGGGCCGTGAAAACGAGTTTAGAAACAATGCCATTGAGCTTATCAGGCGTTTTCAAAATGACATTGGGGAGGTATGCATTGTAATTTATCTACATCTTTATAGGATGATACAAATATTGCTGTTTGTTGTGCGTTACAAATGTTTTGGTGCTCACTCTTCGAGTAAATATATCATATTGCGTATCATTCTAAAGTGCATTGTAAAGGTGTTGAAAAGGTATGAAAACAGACTTATGATTTGATAATACATGCTCGCTCTTCGTGTGAATATAAAAATGTTGAATATCATTCATCATATGTACATTTTTTTTAGCACTAAAAAATAGCATGTATTCATACAACACCCAGAAATGAACACATAATTGTCTCCTCAAACGAACTACTTTCAAAAACAGAATTGTAACTGCAAAACTCTTGTTAATTCATACTACAACTTGAACACATGACGTAGACACTTGAAATGCAAATTTCAAGATGTTGGCAAATCAAATGTACATTGTGAGGTGTTGAAAATGTGTGAAAACAGACTTTTTTTTTTAGGAAATTTGTGGTACAGAACTTGATAAATTTGATGAATGGGGAGCTAGCCTTTGATAGTTAAAAACTCCATTTGATATGAAAGCAGTAGAGTTGGGATTCTCCCTCAATGAGTTTTCTCTCAAATTGGGTGTTTTTTGGTATATACTCTTTGTATCCAGAGAACCTTATTTATAGTGGAAGATATATCAGCCAGCCGTTATAGTGGAGGATATATCAACTAGTTGTTACCACTCACCATAATATCTTCAAATCCACTAATATTTTCTCAACTCTACCAATATTTCCTTAATTCTCTACAGTCAAAGAAGGCTAAAAATACTCCAAGTAGGATTGACTAGTCTTTTAGAACTTGATGAGTCCATCTAACCAAGTTACCTATGTTGACTAGAAAAGATCTAACCTAAACATCAAATTATATCAACGTAATATATATGTATGCATGCACTATTATAAAATAATATTTAATACATAATAATTTCACAAAAAATGCATCTATGATATATGCCATGAATAATGCAATATTTAACTAACGAATTAGGGTTTTATATATTTCAGATTTGACCACCAACCGTAGTTTAATTAATATCAAGAGATTTTAGCTATATATTACAACATTTTTTTTGTCTTCATTCTGATTATGAAAACAAAATTTAGATTTGCATTTAGAGTTGTCAATCATTTTTAGCATTCTAGGGATTCTAGAGAGAAAAGGAGCGACGAATAAGTATATTGAGGTGATAAAAGACATGTATGACGGGGCTATAACTACAATTAGGTCTTCCGTGGGAGAAAGTAAATAACTTTTAATTATGGTGGGATTACACCAAGGATTGGTCATAAGTCCATACCTATTCCCCCAATTATGGATAAACTCATTAGGCACATTCAAGATGATGTCCCATGGTGTATGCTATTTGCGGATGATATTGTATTAGTAGATGAAACTCGAGGGTGGATTAACAATAAGTTAAAAATTTGGAGAAAGACATTTGAGTCAAAAGAGTTTAAAATAAGTACGAGTAAGACTGATTATATGCAATGCAATTTTAGTAATAGAAGTAGACAGTGAAAAAGTTAAGATTAAAAATCAAGAAATATCAACGAGTAAACGATTAGATATTTAGGGTCGATCATTAAAAATGATGGAGATATTGAAGATGATATAACTTATAGGATCAATGTCGGTTGACTTAAGTGGAGGAAAGCCTCTGACATATTATGCGATAGAAGGATACCAATAAAATTGAAAGGTAAGTTTTACCGAAAAGCTATAAGGACAACAATGTTGTATAAGACAGAATGTAAGGCAACTAGGAAATAACATAGTGACAAAATGAGTGTAGCGGAAATGAGAATGTTAAGGTGGATGTATGAAAAAACTTGAAGAATAAAATACGAAATGATCGTATTAGAGAAATTGTAGTAGTAGCTCCAATTAAGGATAAGTTAAGAGAGAATAAATTAAGATGGTTTGGTCATGTGCAGCAGAGGCCGATGGAAGCACCGGTTAAAAAAAGTGATAGAATTTTTCTTAAGGGTACTAAAAGTAAGAGTAGACCTAAATTAACATTGAACGAAATAATAAGAAAAAATACAAAAATATTTAACTTAAATGAGAGTATAAAAGATATAAAAATATTTAACTTAAATAAGAGTATAGCGCATGATCGTAATGAATGGGAAATACGGACTCATATAGCTGATACCAAATAACGGGACATAAAATTTGGTTTGGTTTGGTTAGGTGTAAGTAATCCGGTTCTCTATGCTCATCTAATGAATTGAGCACACCGTTTGTTGTTATCTGGAATGTTGAAGTCTTCCTTTAAATATTGTGTAAGCCATTCTTCTTTGAAGTTTTGGAAATTATATTTTTACTCTAAAAGATGAACTTTAAACAATTTGGGCTACATATATTCTTTGATGAGCACGTTTGTGGTTCGCTTCTTAGATGTGAAGCTGTGCCATCAAAGATTTCCTTACATTCCTTTGCATACTTTTGCTGCATCTAGTCAATGCTGTTCTTCACTTTGGGAGACAACTTCAGTGTGATACTTTCACTTTCATTTTGGTTTCCTTTCCCTCCTCTTTCCTCCCTTCCTCTTACCTGTTACACTTTTCCAAATTTTATATCTCCATTTCGTTTTGTGCTGCATTGCAGCTTGCAACCGAGGAGAGCAAAACCTTCAGGGAAAGGACGATATCTATAGTTTTGGTTCCAAATAAGACTGTTGTGCAGAAAGCTCAAGAGCCCCCAAAGAAAAAGGAAAAGTCAACAGTTACTGAAGTCTCAGCTGGTGTTTAAGTGCACCCATATAGTTTTGCATGATTCCGTAAGGGTGGACAGTTTGTAGGTAAACTTCGCTGATATTTTTCTATTAAACCAGAGATGTCACTATCTTGTATAGAATTAGTGTTAATATAATCTGTATGGGAATGTATTTGTTTGATCTTGTCAATAACAAAATCAGGCTTTTCTGTTGTACTTTTAAAGAGTCAGTCCTGGAGAAGTATCTAGATGAAGGAGTTTCTTTTCCTTACGGCTTTTAAACACGAGCTATTAACTTTGTGGGTGATGTTCATAAGAACTATCAAATGAAGTAGTCTAAATACCTATAGTAAGGTAGCATTCTAGTAGTACATAATGTTCTACTTTGTGGTTGTTTAGTGCATATCTTCCTCGAAACCCACTGCAGATTGCCTTTCTGAATGCAATTTTAACCTTTTTAACTGCTGTATCGGGACTGATATCAAAGAACGTCATGGATCTAGATCTTTCCAATTCATTTTCAATCAGGTCGTCCACATAGATTTTGGGTCTGTATGATGGGTGATTTACCATTGACGGAGAATGAGAGATAATGTATTAGAAGGTATCCAATTCCTGATTGATAGATTCTTGGGATACTGCTATAGCTTTCTGTTATATAGACGTATGATCTTAGCATATTGTTACTACCAACATATATGTGTATTGAGCTTAATTATTTATTCAAGAAATGGTGGTAATACAACATGGACCTGAAGTCCTGGACTACCCAACCTGAGTTATATAGCCAGTTGAACTTAGCTGTCTAGATGATATGGAGGTTCCAACTTACCAACCTAACTAGCAGATATGACTTAACTTGCAAGTCCTTGCACCTCAAGCATTCTCATATCATATCTTTCTCTTTGCTGGCTCTGTGGAAGCTACGGATAGCTACAGGTTGGTGGTGTATCAGGTTTTCTATTGAATAGGATTAAAATATAATCCAAACCAAACTCTTTTAGATTGAATGTCTATTCTCTTGTCTGGTGATTGTATGTTTTGTGTATGTCAGGTGTTAATTTTTGGTATGATATGAATACTAAAAGTTAGGGTTGATTAGTCATGGACATACATCAGGAGATGACACGATTACTTAGATAAAATTGTGTATGTTCACAAATTATTCTATAAGTGAAGTTATCGGTTGGTCTAATAGTCATCGTCTCTATTATTGTAATATAAATTCGTGAATTTGAATCTCGCCAAAAATAAATAAAAAAATATTAAGTATTGTTTTGGAAATTGAAAGACAACTATGCAGAATTTGGAAGCCCATCATCATGGCTTTGGTAGTTCAGAGGAAAATGCAGACCAGTGACATCTGGTGATTTTCCTCAATTTATCCGAAGCTAATCATTTGATGGGTAAGTTCTTTGACAAATGTATACATAACTTGGCTGCTTGATTAAAATTTTGCAAACTGATTAACAATTTTTTTTTTTTTCATTTAACCCAAAAATGCAATTGGCTTTTAGATCTAACAAATGGACTTCTCGACGAGATGAGATCCTTTTCAATGGACTTTTTCATAATATGTACAGGTTCGTGTATTGATGGAAGATCCAATTTTGGGGTCAAGTGAAGATCCAATTGTCTATATCGGTTCCACTTGAACGGTTGATGGCTTGATCATAGAAAAAAATCAAAAAAAAAAAAAAATAGAAAAAAGAAAAAGAAAAAAAAGGTCGATTAAGGTTAATGGTTTGGGAAAATCTGACTTCCATTCAGTTGGCTAATGGTGTTTGTATTTGGAAGGAGCTACGGTTCCATTGCCATCATTGAAAGTATATTGAAGAGTTCTGTCATTAACATTCCCTCTTTTTGCACCTTAGAATATGGGAGTAATCTGCCGTACCAAAAAATAAAAAATAAAAAATAAAAAAAATTCGGTGCTATATAGTCATGTACAACTTTTGTGGGTGTTTTTATCATTTTTGTGATAACTATTTTTACCATTTTAAGATCGATAGCAAAGTATCACAAAAGTGATAAAAAAAATTACCACAAAAATTCTAAAAAGCAGCCACAAAAGTTGTGAAATCCTTGCAAAAATTATAATTGTGGTATGGTGCTGAAATGACCTATAAAATTGTAAAAACACCCATTAAAGTTATAAAATTAAAAGGTGCGATATCATTTTTTTTTCTCTGGTACCTTTGTCTTCTCCTAGAATATGGCATGTTCAACCAATTTAATTGGTGAAATCTGCTTAACTTGACACGATTTATTCAATAATTGATTTATAGCTGACGGCCTGATGTCGTGTCTTATTACTCACATAATAATAAACATGTTATTTTAATTAATTGTTGTATCAAGTTCGAATTGACCCAATTGAAGAGAAATCTATATACCATTGGCATGATAAAAATAAATATAATAATTAACACGACCCGGATGCCAACCCTAATATTCTTATGTCTTTTTATTATTTTCATATGCTATGCATAATTATTTCTAATGCAAACTTGACGCTTAAAAGCTATATATATATATAAGAAATTAAAACACATGTTCCAACGTGAGATCCAACTACGCTTTCATGAAATCGACTGAATTTTGTATAGCTACAACCAGAAAAAACATATCAATTTCTCTAATTTTGTCCCAAGTTTTTGTAATTTTTTTATTCAATCAAATAAATATAAAGTCATAATCCACTAACTAAAATTCTAATTAGACATATTTTTGTTATTTTTATTATGTTAGGAAATTACTCCAACAAACATCCCTAACCATTTATCGGTATAAATGTCCTAGTCTTGGTGTGGATGGTCTGTCTTTACTCAATAGAAAAAAGATTAGTTAAAATGTGTGTAAGTTGATTCAAACACCCTTAACCGTTAAATAAAATATATATCCTACACCCTTCTTACATCATTAGAAAACATATAAAACCCAACTATACCATATGTGTGATCTGATTATCTATCTAATAAAAGAGATTTTGGCGATTTGCTTAAATAAATAATTATTGATAAAATAATAAGAATATATATATATACATACAAATTTGGTCGAGAGAGAGAGAGAGAGAGTATGGTAGGGTAGTTGAAACTGAGGAAGCTAGCTTAACTTCAAGGCAATGGAGACTCTGCAACCAACAGCACCCCTCCACAGGTGGACACATTAGGTGAGGAGAGAGACTGAGATATTAACTCTACCCTCTCATTCATTCCTTAAAAAGAACCCCTCACCATATCACTCTCAGACCTCCTCTCACACAATTCACTGCCACCCTCCTCTCCAATCTATCATGGAAGCCAGCGCCGGACTTGTTGCCGGATCTCACAATCGTAACGAGCTCGTCGTCATTCACGGCCATGAAGAGGTAACCCCATATATAAACAAGAACACACACACGCACACGCACACACATAAATATATCATATTTCTACTGTTTCTTCTACTTCGATTCTTGTACCACCTATTTTGCCTACAATATGTGTGTTGTGCGTTTGTGGGTGTCTGTGGGATAACATTCACGAAACTTATATAGTTTAGACTGTGATATGCTTTGTTGTGGTTCTTGAGATTGGTGCAGCCTAAGGCTACCATATATAAACAAGACCATATATGCACATATATATGTATATACATGTGTTTGTGGAATCAATGATCATATTACAGTCGTTTTTAAACTTCGTTTTTTTTATCTTTATATCGTTGTTTTCCATTTATTTCTCTAATTACGATAGTTTCAATGGTGAAGTGTTTCACAAACCGTATGCTTAAAATCTTTTTCGTTGAAAGCGTATTTTGAAAACAAATTTCTTGCTTGAAAAGAGTGAGTTCAATTCAATCCATACTCTTATGGCAAAAATAAGAAAGAAACAACCGTAGAAAGGAGATAAAGTTGACAAAGAGCCGTAATTTTAGTTAAAAACTGCGTTTGTTGGGTTGGTGTGTGACTCTGTATATGGTTTAGCATTCCACTTGTGGTCTTGCAGACTACAAATTGCTTAATTTATGGTTGTTCTTGTGGTGCAGCCTAAGGCATTGAGGGATTTAACTGGTCAAATCTGTGAGATATGTGGCGATGAGATTGGGCTGACGGTGGACGGCGATTTGTTCGTGGCATGCAATGAGTGCGGTTTTCCAGTGTGCCGGCCGTGCTACGAGTATGAAAGGAGAGAAGGGAATCAATTGTGCCCCCAGTGCAAGACCAGATATAAGCGTCTCAAGGGTGAGCATGTTGGAACATTTTCTCCCTCTTGCCACAAATAGGGTTGGAAGAATTTCAATACAAAATTTAAAAAAGTTGTAGAGTTATAAAATATAGCAACACTAGAAACATGAATAAACTATAAATTTAAACGTTTTAAATTTGAATCTTGACAATTTGTTAAGATCAAGCTATAAGGAATTTATCCTTCATGAATACCTTAGTCCCAACGTGAATAACATGTCTTTAATCGGACTTAAGAGAATTAGTTAAGATATTTGCAAGCTAGCTTAAACACCTTGACCATTAAACAAAAAGAATTAAAAAAAAAAAATCATTGTACAGTCAAAGGTAAGGGTGCAAATGAACCAAAACGAGCTACATTCGAGTTTGTCAAAGAATGCTCGAGATCGGCTCGTAATTGCAACAAGCCACTCATTTATTAGTTGTTTTTCAAACTTAGGCTTGATTCATCTCGTCTGATTAACTAAACTGAGCTCGAGCTTGCGCTTGAGTTTAAAACTTGACTTCAGACTTGTGTAATACAACTTTATCCCATCCATATCCATATGCAATTCATTACAATATATACACACAAGTTGATAAGCTTGATGAGCCCAACAAGCTATTGCTCGGGGTTAACTCGTTTACTAAACCAGCTTCAAGCTCATTTTATTTGATAAATGAATCAAAGTGAATGAACTTTATTAATTTGTTCATAAATGGCTCTGTTCCTTTGCAGCCATAGACAAGATTTGCTTATTCTTACAAAGATTTTACACTAATTAAGAGGTTTGTTAGATATGAGTCTGGGGACAATATCAATGGCATCTAATTATCTTTTTTTCTTTCTTTCTTTACATGCTAAATAATGTGAAGGGAGCCCAAGGGTGGAGGGAGATGATGATGAAGAAGATGTCGACGACATAGAACATGAATTCAACATCGATGACAAAAAACACAGGAACAAAAACATAGCAGAAGCCATGCTTCATGGGAAGATGAGCTATGGAAGAGGCCCAGAAGACGACGAAACCGCCCAGTACCCACCGATCATTGCTGGCATCCGATCTCACCCTGTAAGCCAAACCAACGAATGATCATATCATAATCAAGCTTATTTTCTAAGTTGTTATATAAAACGCAATAAAAACCTTATGCTACAATGCATGTCATGAATGCAGGTGAGTGGCGAGTTCCCAATATCAAGCTATGCTCATGGAGAGCAGATGCAGCCTTCAGCTTTACATAAACGTGTGCATCCATATCCACTCTCTGAGCCTGGTATATAATTCTATAACCATTTGTACATATAATTCAATAACAAGTGACAATCCACAACCGGCCAAGAACCCTCCATTCCACCTGAAACCCGTCCCCAAAATGGATTTAATTGGACTTATAAAATTGTTCACTTTGCAATATATCCCCCCAAAACCCACATTCATAAAGCATCTCACACAAAAACAACTGAGCTTAGACGAGTTGGTCACGGTTGAATCTCTCAAAATTCTGTCAACCAAGAGGTGAAGTGGCCAATCATTGCCAAAAGCAAAGATTGCTTTCTGATTGCCATCTCTTGGGGTCTGTAGGTGTGTTCTCCTCTGCTAGAGATGTATCATTTGAAAGTTATAACAATTGATTATTCCCTGTAACAATGAACTACCGCTATAAATTAAAAACCAAATCACTTCACACAAACAATTGACCAAATAATGAAGAACTGGATCACCATAATCCACTCTTTTTAGGCCACACATCCTAGTGTGGGACTTGTCCAAAACTAGATGATATGAGATTCTAAATGATGACTAGTATCATTTTATCCACCACTCTGCTAAATGCGCCATGTACAACGGGTGCACAAACTATGTTGTCTCCGCACAACAAGAGCAAATGATTCTGATACCAGTTGTGACACCCTCAACGTACTTATTGATACTATGGTTTGTATTGTACTTGTTTTCTTGTGTATCTATTATAGTGTTTTGTTTCACATTACATGATGTGCAAAACAGGCAGTGCAAGATGGGATGAGAAGAAAGAGGGAGGGTGGAAAGAAAGGATGGATGACTGGAAAATGCAGCAAGGCAATCTGGGACCTGAACCCGATGACTTGGCTGACCCTGACATGGCCTTGTATGTTCTTTAAAATAATGCTATTTGAACAAGATTATGAGTGCATGAGCCATTTGTATCACAAATTTTATGCTTCGGACCCACATTGTATAGCATTACTGTTTTGTGTTAGTCTCCCCGAACATTCAAATTCATTGTACAATGGAGGAAGCATATTACTTATCAAACACTTCAAACATATTTCATGAAGCGATGAGAAATTTTGGAAGATGACTCTTGTCAAGTTAGTCGTCACCGCCCTGGACGCCACTATGCCGAACCAGGGTGCACATGGGCTGAACAGACTACTCGATCTCTAGGATTAAGCAGCTCTCATTAAGAACTATATCTTCCTTCCACAGAAATCTATGCATTATGTAGTTGTCACAATAATGAACTTCCCATCAAAGTGTTGCCTTTAACTTAACTTTTATTCATGTTAACAAATGCAGGGTAGATGAAGCAAGGCAACCACTCTCAAGGAAAGTACCAATTGCATCCAGCAAGATCAATCCTTACCGGATGGTGATTGTGACTCGGCTTCTTGTTCTCGCCATTTTCCTTCGTTATAGAATCCTCAACCCAGTGCACGATGCCATCGGCCTCTGGCTTACTTCTGTGATATGTGAGATCTGGTTTGCCTTCTCCTGGATCCTTGATCAGTTCCCCAAATGGCTCCCCATTGATCGCGAAACTTATCTCGATCGCCTTTCTCTCAGGTACAAGCACTTACAAATGCAAGCATAATACTGTGGCAAATAGCATTCATAATCATAAGTTCATCTATGACTGCACAAAGAATAAGAACACGCTTTACTTTGTTCTTAGTGTAACTTTTTATTCCATGAAAAATTGCAGGCATTAATTGACACAATTAATTTCATTCGACAATGTTATTCATACTGAGTAGCTCTGACAATATGTTACGTCATGTTAGGTTTGTATTATGTTAAAATTTGTTCAATCACACTATACCCATTTATGGCTGTGTATAATTGTGTCTGTAGCATGTCGGGTTGGTGACATGAATCTAGGCTTGTGTCATCCCATTTAATAAGCTGGTTTGGCCAATCAACCCGGTAATGACTTGAATAGATCACACCTAAAAAAGGTTGTATCAAGTGCACAAAGCTCTCACATGGCCACCTATAGTAGAGTTTGCAAGAGATGGTAGGCAGTCTTACTTCATTTTGCACCAATTGGTGTGTCATTCAGAAATAGACCTTATCCAGCTGAATTTGATGCATGAACTGAGATACAACTACTGATCAGATATCAAACTTATATAAGCAGAGGATATAGCTCCAACTGTAAATTTCTGGACCTCATCCAAGCATTACACAGTATGAACTATATGCATCTTTAGCCCCAAGGAGTAAATATATAATTCAAAGTCGCAAGATTAATCTCGTATAGCTAGGTATCTCAAAATGTAGTTTTAGCAATTAAACGAGACCAAGTTGAACAAATGTACTTACATCACATGTAGTGATATAACTCAATAAATCTATGATGCAGATACGAGAGGGAAGGCGAACCAAATATGCTAGCTCCAGTGGATATCTTTGTCAGTACAGTGGATCCCATGAAGGAACCTCCTCTTGTTACATCTAACACTGTTCTATCAATCTTAGCAATGGACTACCCAGTCGACAAAATCTCATGTTACATTTCCGATGATGGGGCTTCAATGTGTACCTTCGAAGCATTATCAGAAACTGCAGAATTTGCTCGAAAATGGGTTCCCTTCTGCAAGAAATTTTTGATTGAACCTAGAGCCCCAGAGATGTACTTCTCTCTGAAGATTGATTATCTTAAGGACAAAGTGCAGCCTACATTTGTCAAAGAGCGTCGAGCTATGAAGGTCCTTCATCTAACTCCCTTATTTCATAACAGCTCAAGAGTATAAAAAATCATAAAAGAAGAACTTTCGACTTGAAAATGTAATTTTTTTGTGGCAGAGAGAGTATGAAGAATTTAAGGTTAGGATCAATGCAATTGTTGCAAAAGCCATGAAGGTTCCTACAGAAGGATGGATCATGCAAGATGGGACACCATGGCCAGGAAACAATACCAAGGATCATCCGGGTATGATTCAAGTCTTTCTGGGTCAGAGTGGAGGCCTTGATGCAGAAGGAAATGAGCTCCCTCGCCTTGTTTACGTTTCTCGTGAGAAGAGACCTGGTTTTCAGCATCATAAGAAAGCTGGTGCCATGAATGCCCTGGTGAAGATCACAAACACATCTCTTAATAGTTTGATTCCTTTAAGACCTGGAGAAATTGTTACAAATTAGTTTGTAATCTTCTTCTTTTAATTTGTTTTGGCACTATTATTTGCAGTACAAGGATCTAATTTATTTCAACCATTCAAAACCCAAGTGAGAAAAAGAAATCACAACTTTCATCAAAACCATGTAAATTAATGTCCTAAATCCACAGGTTCGTGTCGCTGGAGTCCTTACCAATGCTCCCTTCATGCTGAACTTGGACTGTGACCATTACTTGAATAACAGCAAGGCTGCACGAGAGGCAATGTGCTTCCTGATGGACCCACAAATTGGGAGAAAGGTCTGTTATGTCCAATTTCCTCAAAGATTTGATGGCATAGACAGGCACGATCGATATGCCAACAGAAACACAGTCTTCTTTGATGTAAGTCCCTGGAAAGAAACAAAGTAGAATGCATTCATCGAAAAATGTCTTCTGTTTATGTGCCTCTTATTGGTGTATTTTATTTATTATTTTTTGGCAGATAAACATGAAAGGTCTAGATGGGATTCAAGGTCCTGTATATGTTGGCACTGGATGTGTCTTCAGAAGACAGGCGTTGTATGGCTATGAGCCTCCAAAGGGCACCAAGCGCCCAAAAATGGTAAGCTGTGACTGCTGCCCATGTTTTGGACGTCGCAAAAAACAGCAGAAATATTCTAAACATGGTGCAAATGGAGATGGTGATAACGTTCAAGGTTTTTGACATTCTTTCCTTCACAATAACTTAATTGATGCCTATTTGATATTTTCCTTTCCAACCATCCAAAATTTATGTTTGTTCTGTGATCAGGGTTTGATGATGACAAGGAGCTATTGATGTCCCACATGAATTTTGAAAAGAAGTTTGGGCAGTCAGCAATTTTTGTGACGTCAACCTTAATGGTTGAGGGAGGTGTTCCTCCTTCCTCCAGCCCGGCGGCCCTGCTGAAAGAAGCCATTCATGTGATCAGCTGTGGCTATGAAGACAAAACTGAATGGGGTTCTGAGGTAATATAGAAAACTAGAAAATCAAGACATGTCATGTTAATTCTGGCTACAATTCCTAAAGCTTCCAAGACTCCCAAATTACATCAAATTTTCCATTAACACAAGACTTCTGTAATGTTCTGAATGGTTGGAAAATGATGAAATACACATAAAATGTCTCCTACAATAGAAGGCATCGTGTTTTCCCACTCATGTGGAATTCCATGTTACAAACCATAAGCATCTACAGTACCATAAATTGCTTTTCTCCACTCACCTTCATATTTATAATGGTTGTTGGTTGTGCAGTTGGGATGGATCTACGGCTCTATCACAGAGGATATCCTCACAGGTTTTAAGATGCATTGCCGTGGTTGGAGGTCCATATACTGTATGCCCGAGTTGCCTGCATTCAAGGGGTCTGCTCCTATTAATCTGTCAGATCGTCTCAACCAGGTGCTTCGTTGGGCTCTAGGATCTGTTGAGATCTTTTTCAGTCGTCACAGCCCTGCCTGGTATGGCTACAAGGGTGGAAAACTCAAATGGCTCGAGCGGTTGGCATATGTTAACACAACTGTCTATCCCTTCACCTCCATACCTCTCCTTGCCTATTGTACCCTCCCTGCCATCTGCTTGCTCACTGGAAAATTCATTATGCCAGAGGTAACTACATAATCCTTGCCCCTTCCATCTAAACTCCAACTGGAGGATGTATGGCCATCACTTGAACATTACTCCATTTGCTTTCCATGTCATTTTATGGCCCTAAGCCACATCTAAAAGCAATCATCATAAAATTGGAATCATCGCATAAGTTGTAAGAGATTTATTTTTGACTTCAAATCCCTACATGCACTAAAATTGTCTAAGTTTGAATCCTACAAAATAAAAAAAATCATTCCAAAATACTATGCCAAACAAAGTAGATGCTGAAATTTTCACTTGCATTCCAAAAGCCCTTTATATGTAGCTCCGCAGTTGTGTTTTTTCCTTACTACTGGACTTAAGCTTCATTCGTTTTTTGATTCAGATAAGCACCTTTGCAAGTCTCTTCTTCATTGCTTTGTTCCTTTCAATTTTTGCGACGGGCATTCTTGAGCTGAGGTGGAGTGGAGTAAGCATAGAGGAATGGTGGAGAAATGAGCAATTTTGGGTGATAGGTGGCGTGTCTGCACATCTCTTTGCTGTTGTACAAGGTCTTCTTAAGATTTTGGCTGGAATAGATACCAACTTTACTGTCACATCCAAGGCATCAGATGATGAGGATTTTGCAGAACTATACGCTTTCAAATGGACTACACTCCTAATCCCTCCAACCACTCTCTTGATCATCAATCTTGTTGGGGTTGTGGCTGGAATCTCTGATGCCATAAACAATGGGTCCCAATCATGGGGTCCACTATTTGGAAAGCTCTTCTTTGCTTTTTGGGTAATTGTTCATCTCTACCCATTCCTCAAAGGTCTCATGGGGAGGCAGAACAGGACACCCACCATTGTTGTTATATGGTCAGTGCTTTTGGCTTCTATCTTCTCCTTGCTTTGGGTCAGAATTGACCCATTTGTGTTAAAAACCAAGGGACCTGATGTCAAGCAATGCGGAATTAATTGCTAAGCATATTATTTGTGTTCCTTTTGAGAGCTGCTCTTCAGCAAAGTTTGTGGGTATTTTTGTATAGGCCAATGGAGTGATGGAAGAAAGAATAAATCCAAGGTGAAAAGTTTTGTTAGCCTAACCTATTGTACTCTGGTGCTTTTTTTTTTCTAAGGCTTTCAAAACAACACAGATAAATTTCCTGGAATACGAAGTGGATTGTTTTCTAATGAATACAGCATGGGAAGGGCATTTAGCTCAATAGACCACGGATTAAACATATCATCTCAAACTACAAATTACTCAGAACATAACGTAGTAACTAATGGCCAAATACAACCACCAGAACAGCAAATTAAATTGGGCATTCCTTTTCTACGATTTATTTTAAAAACCGTCATGCCAATGGCCAAACTAAGCAGTTTCAAGTGAGAGTATTTGTACCTCATGAGATTGTTTTGCTGAAAAGATTATACCCGTCCCCTGATGAGCTTGTTTGCTGAAGACAATATGCCTTCCTCATCCTCCACTACAGGCCTTCTTGTCATCAGCTGGATATATACTCCAAATAGGGACAATTTTCTGGGAAATCGAGCAAACTTCAGGTCATTCAAGATGACGTACGCCTAACTGATCTATCCTCTAACAGAAAAGCATAAAATACCAGCCCGTTTCTGTGTCTTTTAAGAGAAAGGAAGGAAAGAAAAGAGGGGACGGACATGGTTCTGGTTTTGATTAAAAGTAGGCAATGATATCAAATCTGAAGATAGAAATAAAACAATTTTTACTAACCAATATTTAGGATCAGGTAAGGGTTTCAGTTGGGGTTTAATGTATTTTATTTGTTTCAGTACGCGGAAACAAGAGCTAAATTTTCACAGTTGCAGGATTTCTCAACAGCAGTAGTAACAACTGTACTTTATTCACATCTTGTTTCAGTCAATTCTCACAAGGATGTCTAAAAATCTTATGCATCTTTAGACGAGGATACCCCAATTTAATTATTGACGCATCAGAAGGTATAATTGATTGTATGTCCGATGCTGCAACCTTCATCATGCAGGAGGCAGACTTTTCACCAATAGTCTCTGCAAGAACACATACCATCTTTAAAATGATGAAACCTATTTGCATCTCTCACAACAATAACTCTTTCTGTGATCTTGGAAACGAATTTAGTAAAATTATGGCAGTCTAAACAAACTCGAAGGTTTTTGATGATCCTGATCTCGGTTCCTGGTTTAGAATTTATAAGACCGAAAGCAATGGCCAACTTCTCACTATGAACCTTCACCATTAGCTCCTTCTCTTCTTCCTCCACATCATGCAATGCTGTCATAGTCTCTGTCTGAAATCCAGCTCCCCTCATCTTTTCCATCACCTTTTCCAGCATTGCATAGATTGCCTCTGCTTGTGGGTGAGATTGGTCACTGGATGTAAAAACATGTGGGCTCCCATGAACCTCAATCAGTGTGCACCCAGGGGTCTTTGCCAGATTTCTCTTTTTAACCACTTGGCGAACTGAAGCAGCCTGAGGATAATTTTGATCTGCAGAGTAAATGTTAGATAGAAGGACATAGTATCCTACATTTTCAGGGTCCAATTGGAACAACTTATCAGAAGCCAAGCGTGCTAGGTTTGTGTCCTTGTGAATCATACAAGCACCAAGTAATGTGCCCCACACAGCAGGACCTGGCTCAACAGGCATTCCTTTTATGAATTTCATAGCCTTCTGTAATTTTCCAGCACGACCAAGGAGGTCTACCATGCAGGCATAATGCTCGGCCAAGGGCTCAAAGCCATGATCATGGACCATCGAATGGAAAAGTTCCTCTCCTTCTCGCACCAAGCCAGCATGACTGCAAGCATATAATATGGAAACGAAAGTAACCCCCGTTGGGGCAATCCTAGAGTTCACCATCTCAGTGAAAAGCTTTAGTGCTTCATGCCCAAGTCCATGTAGGCCATAACCAGAAATCATGGCATTCCAGGTCACCACATTCTTCTCCGGCATGATGTCAAATAATCGACGAGCCTCACAAATGCTTCCACACTTGGCATACATGTCAATCAAAGCAGTTGCCACATAAATGTTGGACTCGAAACTCTCTTGGTTTATCAAGTCATGGACCCATTTACCTAGAGTTAGAGCTCCAAGCTGAGCACATGCTGAAAGAATACTTGTGATTGTGACAGGATTTGGACGGATTTCAAACATTTGCATTTCCCGGAAAAGAGATATTGCTAACTCTGTTTGCCCATTTTGGGCATAGCCTGATATCATTGCATTCCAAGATGCCAAGCTTTTCTCTGGGGATTCATAGAAAAGCTGTGTTGCAGATTCAATTTCATTCAGCCTACTGTATACAGTAGTCAACGCTGTAGAAACAGAAGGATTCAACACGATACCAGATTTCAAACAAAAACTATGGATTGAGAGCGTAAGATCTAAATGGCCAAAAGGGGAAGACACAGGAACCAAACCTACAATGGTACTTGAATTAACTTTCTCCCCTAAAACAAGTAATCCTTTAAAGAGCCTCACTGAAGAATCTGTCTCATTATTACAAGAAAACCCAGCAATCATAGCATTACATGATATTAAATCCGGTTTCCCAATCTGACCAAACAACAACTTAGCAGTTGATATCTCCCCACATTTCGCATAAAAAGAAATCAAACCCGTAAGAACATAATCATGATAATGACATCCAATCTTCACAGCCAAGCATTGAACCATCATCCCCACTCTCAATTCTTGCAACTCAGCTACAGCAGGAAGCACTGCAGCCAATGCAGTCGAATCAAATTTGACCCCTCTAACAACCATATCTTGGAAGACCAGAATCGACTCCTCAAAACAACAATTCCTTACCAACCCAGAAATCATTGTATTCCAAAGAACCCTGTCCGGCTCAGAAATTCCTTCAAACACCTTATACGCATGGCCAACCTTAGAAAAACTAAAATACATGTCCACCAAAGCAGACCCAACAAACAAATCTGAGCCATACCCGTCAACTATTACATGCCCATGAAGCACAATCCCAACTTTTTCAGACCCAAACGAAGAAAAAGCCGATATAATGAACGCATATGTAAAATTATCGGGTTTAAGTGTGGTGTTTTCACGTATATGGTGGTATAAAGAGAGAGCTTTAAGGGGTGAGTTGTTGTGAGAAAAACCTCTGACGAGGACATTGTAAAGGAAAAGGTCAGGTTTTGTGAGTGTCGAACAGAGAAGGCTGGCTTGATCTATAGCTTTGAGGTCCGAGTGCTTGTGGGTCAGTTTCGTAATCGTTATGAGGTCGTTGTGAAGACCATTGAGGATGATTTGGGCGTGTGTTTGGTTAAGGTGAGAGAGAATTGTCGCCTTCTTGACGAGATCTAAAAAGAAATTTCGGTCACGAGGTGCATAGGTTGTTATGGCTCTGCAAATCATTTGCTTCGATGGATAGTGGTGATACTGTTGATGGGTACAACTGTTATACAAAACTTGGCGGGAACTCTCTCAGGCCTAGGTCCGGGCCCCATCTCTTGGGCCAAAGGCTTGGCCTTTGGGCCAACAACTTGCGTTTTGTATAAAAAATTAAAAATAAAAAAATAAGAAAAGTTTGAAGGCCGATTCCTATACGAATTTAAGTTCGCCAAAGAAACTTATTTATTATAAAATTTATTTTTTGTCAATTTTAACAAATTATCTCTTTTCTTTAGAATTGAAGTAAAATTAAAAATTAAAAATTAAAAACTCCTAAATTTTAAGAGTTTGATTAGTATTAAAATTTTCTGTCTCTTATATCTATGTATATCTATATTTAGGTTAAGACTATCACTTAACAAAAATATTAACATTAAAAATAAAAAAAATTATCATTTAAACATAAAAAATAATACTATTTAAACACAAAAAAATAATAATATTTAAATATAAAAAAAATAGTAGCATTCAATATTAATATTTTTAAAAAATAAAAATAGTAACATGTTCAATAAAAATAGTAACATACTTAACAAAAACAGTAACATGCTTAACAAAAAAAAATGGTAAAATGAAATATTGAACAAAATTGAAAGCACAAATAGTAGCATTCAAACCCATAATCAGAGGAACAAGCCTTCAAGTTTTCAAAATCTAAAAAAGTAACACTAAAAAAGTAAAAACATGCTCAATAAAAAATAGTAACATGAAAAAAATAGTAACATAGTCGACAAAAAACATAATAACATGAAACTTTAAAAAAATTGGGGGATTATTTATCAAAAAATAAAAATAAAATTAGAGATCAAACTAACAACACATTGAGCAAATTTTTCAACATTTTTTTTTCTAAAAACCAATAACATAGAAGTTTATAATGACGACAACGCAGTAGAAGATATGGTAGTTGTTGATGATGTTTCAAATCCTACTGATTTTAATGTTATGGGAGGGAGAAATGACATCTAAAGAGAAATATTTATTGTACTAGAGTGATGATCTTCTTCTAATGCGCGCACGCACGCGAGAGAGAGAAAATATAAATTTCAATTTCAATTTCAATTATAAGTCCATCCAGGAGAATTTAGCCCCAATTTTCACAAAAAACAAAAAAGAAAAAGGTCAAATTTTAATCGAGCCATGAATATATAAAGTGTTGTAAGTTACCTTAATCTTAACATTGATCAGGTTAACCTTAGGCTAATTTTTCTGGCTTAGGCTCTAGCTTGGAGCAATGTTAGTTTAAATTTTGGACGGGAAGATCTAAATTCTCGAGTTCAACTCGTGAGTCATAATTATGAGCCTAAAAGATGTATAATTAGGACAATTTTTCCCTAAAAAAAGTGAAATAAGATCCTAATTGTACATTCTTTTCCAAATACCACTGCTATGCCTTCAACAAACCATTGGTCATATACAACTTACTTTATGTGCTTTTAACTGCTGCATAAGATAAACCCTTTCCATTTGGACATATAAGATCCCATAATGTCATTGATCCTACGAGACATGGTTGGCCCAACTAACAGAAAAAACTAATACACCAAAAACAATTTTGACAATAGATCTATTTATTGTCACTACTCTTTTTTGGGTTCAATTGTCAACGGTGTTGGATCAACTTACGTGTATCTCGATTAATCCCCTATCTGGTCTGGTTAAAAACAGACCATTATGTACATTAGGACTAGGGTATTCATGAGTGATAAATCTCTCATGGCCTAACCCCCAAAAATTGCCAAGATTTGAACCTAAAATGTACTATATTCCATGCCAAAAAATTTTGCTACAGGCATAAATCAGAGAATTGGACTTCATTAAAATTTAATCATTTCCTTCCTTTTCATTTCCTATTTGTTGATGCAAAAAATTACACATAGCGACGATGGTACTAACTGCTATTTGCCGGTGAAAGAGGAGTAGGAAAAAAAACATAAAAAAAAAGAGAAGGAATGAACAAGTTACAAATTCCCACCATTGTTAAGAAGAAAAAAATATACACTCATCGACACCAGAGAAGGCCGTGTGATTTGTCTTTGCTAATGTGGGGAAGTGGAAGATTGTTAGTGTAGCATCTAGCAGCAATTGAGGCGTTTTAATTGCTAAATGTTGTCAGTTCACCACTCTTCTGAGCTGATTTCAACTGTACGAGATGAGTCCCAAGACTGTATTCCTCAACCTGTACCGTGTCAACAATGAACATATTATGTACTTATCAGAGATGAAGTATAAATACTTAAGTTACACCCTCTCTAATAGGTTAAGTTTTTGGAATAGATGGTTGTTTAACATAGTATCAGAGCAGAAGCTCACATGTTTGAATTTCACAACCATCCTAATTATTAAAAAAAATTTCATGTGCTAGACCCCAAATTTAGCTTGCATGTGAGGGGGTGTGTCGAAATATAAATACTTAAATTATAATATTTAAGTTACATCCTTCCTCTCCAACAGTGCAAATGGCAATTAAACTGATAAATTTCATCCCAAGCTTTGTTATTCCACCATAGCTAATATTCTTCATTATGTAAAAAACTAGAACAAATATCGTAAGAAGTTTTTTTTTTTTTTTATCTAAAAAATAAATTCTAGTTGGCAACTACAAAATATTTGTTCTCACCTGCATAGCTGCTGTAGAAGACAAAATAGCCGAGCATTCATCAAGCATGGCTCTCTCTTGTGCAGCTACATCAGCAAGTTCAGAAATCAGGTGGTTCATCCCCTCCACCTGTAAAATGTGTAAATAGAAGAAAGGGTTCAGCAATCCCTATGATTTATTCAAAACTCTTGTTTTAGGATATACATTAGGAAATCTAGTAGGGTTGTGATGTGCAAATGAATGGTAGCGACCCATGTAAAAGCCAACATTCTTGTGGGAGTGCATGTAAGCTTAGAAGTAGGCCAAAGTTCAAACAACTCAATCTAGCTGGGCAGCGAATCGTAAAATTTGTATTGCTCTCATCAATGAAGACATGAATAATACTGAAGTCATGCATGCCTTCTTGTACATAACTTACTGAGCCAAGCAAGAAAGAGTGAAGATAAAAAAAATATGAAAGGCTTATTGCAATAGCATATTTTCTTTGGCATAACTGTGAGCCGAGCAAGAATCATAACAAGAAACCAAGAGCAATATTATGACTTTGAAAACTTGTGTAGATAGTCGATGTTGAAGAAGGTCTTAGGACGATGGCTGATATTCTGGCCAAAGACTTTCGCCTTCTCCAAACTAGGAACCCCGATAAAAAAAAAATCCTATGAGACTCGCATCAGGAACATAAGTGTTCTAAATTTATGACTCCATCCAGCATTTCTAAAAGAGTAAAATGTCATATTTTTGCTTTTCTACAAAAGGATAAGGCAATGATATTCGGAGCACTGGTAGATTCAGGTTCACTTCACTCAGATAAAGAACACTAAAGTCGTTGAAATCTGCCTCGGTGAATTATTGTTCATTAAAAGATATAAAAATAGCATATGAACTGATGAATATAAATGAATGACGATTTTCAAAGGGCAAGAAAAGAATACAGTTTCTCAGACTAATAACCCCTGAAAGCTCCTTGGAGTGTGTATGGGTGAATTACGGCTCAAATAGTGAAATGAGAAAGGAAGCAATTGTATACACCTATGTGTCATACAAGAGATACAGATTGTCCAACCTATTCAAATGAGGCCCATTGGACCTCGTGCAAGTGTCCAGGGATGTAACGCTGGATGGACTACATCTTCAAAGGCATTCACTCCACATATGGGTACTGGTTTGTGAAGCATGCAACGGTAGGTTGGCAGAATAATCTTAATATTGCTGCAATAGTGGGTAAACCCTTGATGCAGAATGAAATACCATGGCGGAAGCATGAGCTGAGGACACTAGAATAACTAGAAACATAAATAAAATTAATCTCACTTGTGAGAGTATAGAACATATGGAGGATCCAATTGACTTCATCACATCAACAGTTGAGGAAACAGCTGCCTTCACGGTTTCAATATCAGCCTGTCACAATGAATATTTTATCCACCTTTCATATATTGTTCTTTTTAAAATTAGAATCAATCACTTATTGTGAATTGACATACCCTTGCCCCGCCAGTGACTGGAAGACGGATAGTGCTTGCCTGTAGATCTTGGATAGCACGAGATAAAGAGCTAGTGTGATCCCTTTCAGTTAATGCCCACTCATTGAGATAGGCCATCTGAGTCAGTCATGTTCACATGAAAGCATTAGAAAATTGCATCAATCAAATAATGACCTTTGTAAATTGAAAGAATAAATGGATAAAAAGCAGCATAGATTGGTGTCTGAAATAGAGTAAATTACTAAAATGACCCTTAAATTACTCCACTAGTGTCAATACAACCCTTAAACTAATGTTATGCCAATAAAGCCCTCTAACTTCTTAATTGGAATCAATGGGCACTTTACGTCCAATTCCGTGAGATTTGGGGGTAGAATAGACACACATACTCTCACGAAATTGATCAAGAATTGTATTTTAGACTATTAACAGAAAGTCTCAAAAACCTAAACCCAGCATTCTCTTATCCAATGTCCAACCAGCCCGATCTGCTTTTTCTTCCTCCTCCACCATCACTACCACCCAAACAGTCACTGCAAGCCACAATTCGCAGAGTCCTCTATCACTTCTTGCATGACCATCGCACCACATAAAGCAGCCTTGTATTCCTTAGCTCGCCTAATTTCACACAGTCCTCTTTCTTTTTGTAACTCTCAAGTATGGTTACCATCACCATCGCATGACACCATCAATGCACACCACCATTGCATGGCACAGCCCCAGCACATCTATGGAAGCAGTCACCACTAACACCCACCACCTAGGCACCACCTCAGAACACCCCAAAACACAATGGATCTCTCAATAAATCCAAAATCAAAGATTTGGAAGCAGAGGACACGTAATTTTCGGATATATACGCGTCTCTGTAACTGTGTAGGTGATGAATTGCAAAACAGAACCACATCTACACACTACTCATGGAACTCAATGTGAAACTACAAGTTCACATAAGTGGCTTAAGAGAGGAAGATGTATTACTTGTTCATTCAAAACTGAGTACAGCTTCAGCTTCAGCCTCAGCTGTTGGAGGTCGATTCTCTTCTTGGTTACTGAATTCCACTGTTCTGAGGTAGTTCTCCACACATTACATAATGTTTTCTGCATCAAATCAAAAGATTGAAACTATTACTCGAACACTAAAGTTTAACAGAGGAGTAGTTCTATGTTAATATCTAATTTGGCAAGATGACAGAGTATGAATTGCATAAAGAATCCAAATATGTAACAATATATGCCAAAATATAACTACAAAAGATGTAAGATAAGTGAAGCAGATTTTTTTTTTTGGAACTGGAAATGAAGCATAATTCGGGGAGAGAAAACCAAAAATATTAAGCCTGTTTGCATTGATGCATAATAACCATCTTAGAATTATCTTTTTCATTTGTCTGGTAAATTCTGTTAACGAACGGAAAAAAAAAAAAAAAGAATTATCTTTTGCACCAATCGTTATCATCATACTAAGCACCATTGCTATTATATTACAATCAATTAATTGTCGTTGTTTTTATTGTCATTATTGTTAATAGTACTACAATTATTATCGTTGTTTCAATATAGCTGCCTGTCCATCCACAAGAAGGCAATGACATTCTATACTAGACATACAAACTAGGCACTACAGGCATACGGGTAACAAGAAAGGTAACCAGACTTGGTTATATGACAGACTAAAAGGATTTGTAAAGCTCCATAAGCTTAATAATGTGCACCTCTGCTGTTACTTTCTGAAAATACAGGGCAGTATCTGCTTGGGCATTAGCATATCGCCATTGCCAGTGTCTATTGTACAGCAGCCGTAGCTGATGAACATCCTCTATATGGCTTGCAGCCGCCTTCCCTTTTCGAATATCAACAATAAAACTAAGGACGGAAGTTGAATTGTTGGATTGCCTGGAAGGACTGGATGGTCTTGTCCGAGATGGACTGGGCCCTCTCGAAGGAGTGGGATTTAAGGCCCTTGCTCGAGCTGGACTGACTCCTCTAGAAGCAGAGGATGATGTAACTGATTTCTTGTTTGGTGATGGAGGGCGTGATCCAGGACAAGGAAAATTTTGAGATCTGGTTGAGGGAGTCACTGATGCTGTTCTTTCTAATACATTTGAAGAAGTAGGTGGATTTTGTACCCGCAGTGCATTATCATCAACTGAACACCTTTCAAACTCTATCCTTGCATTTCCACTAAGTGATGATAGTAGTCTCTCTGCATCACTGGCAGACTTTTGTAAAGGTTTGGTCATACCATCCAATGACATTCTCCTCAGGCATGATATTCCAATTCCCGGATGCGGTAAAGCTGAAGCTTTACTTGACTTATCAGAGAGATCCATGCTTCGGTTTAGAGCACTGGAGGATATCTTCCCACTTGTTCTGCTTGGCCATCTATGCTGATCTATCAGTCGAGCATGTAAGCCATCAACTGGTGTAGAATTCTCAGACTTATCATGGGTATTCTTTCCTTTTAAAGGACTCCTCTTTCTTTCTGGTGTAGGCTTTCGACAAACAGGTGTTGTTTCACCCCGTTTATGAGTTACATTGGAGGATGGCTTCAAAGTGCGATCTGAAAGAGCATTACCAACTGGTTTTTCTCTCTTACTAATGGGGAGAGAGAAAGTATCAGATTGAAATGATACACTGAGACTCCGCATTGTGGCTGGCCATAAAACCTCTGGTAACCGACTGCCAATCATCTTTCTGGATTCCAATTGCCCTTCTGTGGTCGCATCACGAACAGGTGTGGATGAACTTGGTGGTGATGGTGGCGTGGAGGGCCTTTTCCTCTCGGCCGATATAGCCCTCTTTGGTACTGATACCAATGATGATGTACTTGTTCTTGTAATATTTGGGGAAGGGCAACGCCTAGGACCAGAAGATACCGAGAGACTAGGTGACTTATACCTAGAACTAACTTCCCTCGTTCGAGACCGGCGGGTGGTTCCATTATTCTTCTCCGCCGGAAACAATGGTGGTCTTGGGGTCTCCTCTACCGAGTGCTTCTGTAATGCTTGTTCTGATTCACATACATCCATATAAACTGCCCAAATTCGACCACATTGATATCTCCTTTCATGTAACTCCCCACATTTAACAGGCTATCATGAAACCCAAATTCAACACTGTTACTATACCGATTGCTCAAAAAGAAGATCCTTTGCTATAAATCTGCCACAAAATTTACAACCAAAAGTAAGATTCTACAGCCAGGAAAAAAGAAAAGAACAACCCATAAGAGAAAAGGAAAAGCTAATCAAAAGAATAAATCTTTACACCCAGATCTGAATGAAAATGACTTTGTGACTTACAACACAGCAATGCAAATGGGTATTTTTGTAGTTGTTGAATTATCCCAAATTGAAGCAGATCAGACTCAGGCAATTGCAAAGAAGTGCTCAGGAAGTAGAGAAACATCTGAAGCTTTGAGTCAGAGAGGAGTAGGGTGAGAAATAGAGTAGAGATTAACAACAATTTGCAAAATAAGAAAAAAAGTAAGGTTGGGCCCTCAGTAATTGGGAAGTAACAGAGGGAGAAGTGGGGTGGGGGTGTAGGATAAGAGGTGGAAGCATTGCGTAGGATAAGAGTGATTCTTTCTTTTCCCCTTTTTTGGGGTCCCTAGCCTTTTGTTCTTCTCACGGGAGTGCCATGGTTGGGTGAGCTGGATATGCACCTACACACATACATTAACTGCCCCTCTGGCTTCTTTCTTCTTCCACACCCAACTAAGGGAATTCATTGAAAGTAAAACGAAAACACAGCCCATATTCTGCTACGGAGAATTAGATATACGCAATGTTTTTATTCCTGTATACCCAAAGATATAAAAGTGGAACTCTCTCCCCTCTCTCTCTCTCACACACAGATTCTCTCTCTTCCTTCTATCTAACTTGTCCTTTTAGATGAGTGGGTAACATTCACACTCACATAGTAATTTTTTGTTGTACTTTAATTACTATTTGTTGTTTATTTCTGAAAAAACAAACATATTCTTGAAAAAAAATAAACATATTCCTGAATGATTATGTATTTTGCCTGTTAGCATTTTTCAATTTACATCAAATATAGAGAGAGTATCTGCAAATGATATGTCCAGAGGGTTATGGAATCAGACATGGAGGACCATGTGCAGATGGAGATCATTGTCCATCCCCATGACAGCATGACTTCACAGTATCACACACACACACACACACACGCATGACATACAATTAAATATTCAATCTTCACATATATAATTCTGGCTTGGTTATGCGCAGAAACAGGAATAAATAATAATTTCTTATTTTACTCTCTCTATTTTTCACAGATTTAGCCATTTAGGAACCAAAAATAAATAAATAAATAAATTTCTTCAAAGAAAATATTATGAAATTTCAAGAACACAGAAGCTTCACAATATTTTTGTAAAACAATTTCGTATATTTTTACACATAAAGAAATAAATCATGATACTTCGCCTAATATTCGTTTAAATTGTAATAATCCAAAACCCCAGCAACGAACGCGGGAGCGAGAGAGAGAGAGAGAGAGATTTAATCCTTTTCGTGTCAATGAAATTTTCAGAAACCCAGAAAACAGAGACAAACGCGACCAAAAATTCTGGTAATTTTTGTTTCAATAACGGTAAATTTCATCCCAAACTCAATTTTTGATAACCGTAACCAATTCAATGAAATTCATACAATCACGCAAACTGAACTTCAATAGATATACACAATCAGCAATTTATTTTTAACTTAAACAATTAAAATTTGAATCTAACCCGTGATCGATGAAGAGAATCGTCGGAAAAGTGATGAAAGATCGTCAGGTGGTCGTTGTAAAGGATATTTTCCGGCGAGAGATTGCTGCAGAGAGAAACAGAATAGATATGTGCAGATAGATAAAATTGTAAACAATATTAGGAAAAATATGGAGAGAGAGAGAGAGAGAGAGAGATGAATTCAGTTGATGGACGTTGAGAATAAAATAATGAGGACAACGTTGTTTTCGCGCCACCTACTTTGATATTATTTTACCTTCACCCTATAAATTGAAGACAATGCAATTTGACGGAATTGTCCTTCGGGATTCTGCGTGGCATTGACGAAGTAATTTACTTGGGAGGGAACGGTCATTTATGCAAAGTTGAGTGAGTAGTAAATATTCCGGCGAATTATATTTTTTACCCCGAAAACTGTAAAATTTACAGAAAAATTAAATATTTTACATTGTACCTTCAATGTATTAAAAGTATTATATATGACTCTTCCTTTAATTTCTGTTACTCATTTCATCAACATCAATAGAGTAAGTTTTTGACGGAATAAGTAACAAAAAAAAAATTGGATAATATGAGAAATTTTATTTTTGAGAGTATAAAATGATAAATTTTAAATTTTTTTACGTGCAAAGTGAGATTCTCTAAAAATTCAGTCTAAAGCGATTACACCAGGTCAGAATTTATTAATGCAATTCTCATTTTTCATAAAAAATTATCACCATTCAAATGTGACCTTATATTTTTTAAGTTTGATTTTATAAATTTGATAATCAAGCGTGCCACATGCTACAAGTAACGATGTCACATAACTTTTAGGGATTGTTCAGTAGGTAAGTCTGTCATTTTGTAAGTAATAAGTCTCAGGTTTGATACTTCTTATATCTCATAAGAATTAGTCATCCTTATTTTTTAAGAGATATGTTCTTAAACTAGTTTAAATTACGGTGACCGACTCAGATTTTGAGAAAATAATCAACACAAATCTAGACACTTGTAACAAAAAAAAAAATGACACATAACCAACATGCTCCGTCCTTATCATCGTCATTGGTTAAACAATGTTGAACTTTTATAAAAATACTAGTTATTGTCATTGGTTAAACAATGTTGAACTTTTATAAAAATACTAGTTATTGTCTGTGCTTAAAGGCACAGAGTAATAAAAAATAAAAAATAATAAATATATTTGTGATTTATATCCAAAATCAAATCATAAACATAAAAAAAAATAAAAAAATTAAAGTATCGATTTGTTGTGGGGGTGAGAGGTGGTGGGCGACAGTAATAGTGGTAGAAAACGGTGATGGTTGTGGTGGATAGCAATGATTGGGGTGACGGTGGCGATGGTGGTGGTGGCAGTGGAGGTGGTAGTGGTGGAGGCAGCGGTGGGGGTGGTGGTTATGGTGATGGTGGGGGTGGAGGGGTAGAGGTAGTGGTGGGACGGTTTCAAACACTATTTTTTTTTAATGTATTTATGATAAATAATTTTTAAAAGTATTTTTAAAAAGTCACTCCAAACACACCCTTAGGAGTCTATTTTTACCATTAAATTTAGAGTGTTAATATTAGCTGTTAGATTAACTTTAAAGTAAAATTTAAAGTAATCTCAGCCGAAAATAGCAAAAGTTATTTTGTTTATCTTTTGAAATTTGAATTGTAAACTACTTTATTATATAAATTGAATAAACTTTTTTATCCAATGATATATCATCATATATATATATATATATATATATGATGGAGGCAGAGTTTCCCAAATGAAAATAAGAGTAAGTCAAAATAGGATTAAAAAGAAAAATTCAACTTGGCTCTTGATTAATGGCAAAATAAAAAAACTATAGAACCACCATATATTTTTTTTGGTTGAGAACTGAAACAATATCACATTTTTTTGAATTCATTATTATTTTGTAAATTCAAAATGTGTACACAATTACTCACAAATTAGGCATATTAATTAAAGTAAAATACTATTTTTTTTTGAGATCTCGAGTCTTAATCATTTAAATTTGTGCAACCAAAACATCTCTAGAATTAAGAGTATTTGGTGCACACATTTAGTGCACGTAGAAATTCTATTTATAATATTGTTTATACTAAAATATAAGATTAAAAATTAAATGATGCGACATCACCGTATCGATTTCACGACATTTTGTCTTTGATTTTGGAGCAAAAAATTAATTTGACGGTGATATTACGTCACCGTCACTATGCGCCGTTATCCTTCAATAAAAAACAAACATATAGATAAGTAAATCTCATTTTTTCTACATACGAATGGAGTTATTACTAAATTGTATAAGATCAGTAGCCTATTTATTGATTTCTTATTATATATAATATTTTTTTTTTTTGATGACGTAATATTACTGTTAATAGGTATTTACTCTGCGTGTGAGAGAGAGAGAGAGAGTAATAAATGTCAAGGTTATGACAATGCGTTTTACTGCATGATTTTACTGAGAAGTACAAAATAAGCATTTCTTCGTTGACCAACATCCACTTGGATGCCACGGAGCTAGTCTCTTTGTGTAAGGGGCTGTTTGTTTGATGCTTTTTATGTGGATTTGAAAGGATGAATTTTAGTAAAATAGTTTGATATATTTATGTTTGGTTAAGATTTTTAAATTTGGGATTTATATTTCTGCTTGTAATTTGTCTGGATAATTAAACCTATGAATATATTTCTTCCGTTCTTAAATATCTGTCGTTTAAGATTTTAACACTTAAGCACTTGAAAAATAGATATAAGAATAAATTTAGAAGAAAAAATATTTATTATACTTTGATTTTATAAAACGACAAATATTATGAAATAAAAAAAATTGTGTAAAACGACAGATATTTAAAAACAAAAGGAGTAGATTTTAACAAATCTATAAGGGGTGGGTTTAAAATCAACCAACTTAGAATATAATAGTAAAAAGATTTTTTTGTCCCTAATTTACCCAATTACAAAGGATTGGATAGAACAATTTAGTTAATTATATTATAAATATTTGGTTATAATTATAATTAATCCGTGAGTCTCATATATGAATATACTATTTACCAAACACATATATGGATAAAATTCATTTATAAATTTCATATATATAAGGATAAGGATTGAGTTTGGGGGAGTTTGAAAAAATCAATACAATCTCCTTATCCAAAACCATCCACACATGTCTTAATGGTTTTCAATTTGAACAAAGGTGGTGGAAAATTTCAATGTATCAAGTTTGGAATTGTGGACCAAGTCAACCTACGTGCGTGCAAGACTTTTCATAAAAGGGCAAGGGCGGCCCGACACAAAATGCGGCCTAAAACGAAAATTTATGTGAAGTTCTATCAATTTTAACACAAATTTTAAATTTAAATTATTATAAAATATTTTTTTTATATTATTTGTCTCTTGAGATGCAAACATATTTATTAAAATTTTGTATTAAAGTATTGTTAACATATTTTTAAGACCCTTACACTAATGGGATATTAATTTCTTTACCTACGAATTCTTAAAAGCCCTAAAAAAATTTAATTTGGTTTTGATTGAATATGAGTATACAAATTTTATTTGAGACTTTAAAAAAAAATTAGGCTTAATTGAATTGAGTCTCAAATTCTTTTGGGGGGCCTTAGAAATAAAAGAGGACTTACTTAAACATAAGTTTTAAAATTTTATTCGGGGTCTAAAAATAAAATTAAACTTAATGGAATCGGTATTTGGGATACTAAATATAAAATTAGATTTAATTAAATATTGATCTAAAAATTTTAATTGAAATTCTAAAAATAACATTAAACTTTTTAAAACTTTCTTAAAATGGGGGCCTAAAAAGCAGCGGCTTCAATGGCATCTCCATTGAGCCGTCTTATAAAGGGTATCAATTTTTTTTTTCAATTTAGAATCATCTCAGCTACGTATTTATATTAAAATTTCATAATTTTTTGCACATTATTTATATCGAATAAATCAAAAATTTTAACTAATTAGATTAAGTTTGTTGATCACCATTAATACTCAACCATGAGATCAACAGACAAGTATATATCTTTTTTTTCTTTTCTTTTGCAGTCGTATTGCTCTTTTTTTTTTTTTTTTAAATTTATTATAATAGTGTTAGTGACCATCGAATAAACCTATTGAAATATGTTCTGATTTATATTATAAATTAGAAAATGAATATACTATTTAACAACACTGATAAAATATAAATGTTTAGACCAATATTTTTTCCAAACCCACCCATGAATGGTGACAACAATAGTACGTCTGCTAGTTGTAGAGTTGTTGAGTAGTTATAACTGATGCGACAACAAAGGATTGGTCACCTAAAACATCCCACTGTTTTCTTTGTGTCTTAGGATAAACCTATGACATTCAAAAAAAGAAAGGGTACCTTACTAAAAGTGGTTCGCTTGTCGTAAATCTTGATTTGATGTATTTATAATAATTAATTAGAAAAATTATAAAATTTAAAATTCATAAAATTTTAAAGAAAAATTAGATGAATCGTGATTAAGTTGGAGAAGTGAAGGTTGTATGGGTTATGCTGGTAGGTTAATGAAAAGCGATAAGTATACAATAAATGGATGGATAGAAAAGAGTTTGTATTAATGAAATAAGATATAGAAAGTTATGTCGATTTAGAAGAAAAAATGGAAGGAATGAAAAATAAAAGGGTGGCCCTTTTATCGTAGCAAAATATTTTCTCAAAATTGAGGAAAAAGTAGAAGAACAATTGAGCGTTTGTGTTATAATATAAGTTATTTTATTTTACGTTTTTTAATAGATATTCTTTTAATTTATCATGGATAAATTAATTTTATATGTGGATATAATGATAAAATATGCATGTGTATTTTTCTTTTCCTCCCAATTTTCTATTTAACCCCCCCCCCCTCCTCAACATTAAAAGACCCATTCCACCTACTTTCGATTTCTCACAAAAAAAAAAAAAAAGGAAACAAAAATTTTTCTCTTGTAAGGATAAAAAAGTGGATCCTTCGTACTTTCTTTTTTATACTTTTTTTTTTTATCTATTCTACTAAACGGATCATAAATGTTCAAAACGATTTTAGATGAAAAGTAAAAAAAAAAAAAAAATCAAATCTCCCCTTCATGGTATGTTACTCTCTCAACATTATTTAATTAAGGTTTTTAATTACAGCACTGAAATATAATTTTTTGATATTGTATCTTTATTATTGCACTGAAATATCATTTTTTAATCAATAATTTTTTAATTTTAATTTATTTTCAGCACAGTACCGTAGCTTTCTCCTTACTTGTAATATCCAAAGTAGGGATTTTTTGTCTTCTAAACGGCCAAAAGCCTTGTCAAAAGGACCCGTTCTTGTCCTTTTGGTACAATGAACCTCACAACAAAACACAATATTACACAGAAAGACCAAAAAATCTGAGATTTGAATACGATACTGTTAAAAAAAATGTCTATATCTTACTCCTAAAATTTATTAATTTTATGGTTGGTTTATCATTTTGTGTGTATTTTTACTACTGTTATAAATGTTTTTACTATATTTATGGTAACTATTTTTACTATTTTTCCTAATTTTTTTTAAAAATTATTATTTTATGGGTTATTTACCACAATTATGGATATTTTTACCACATTTATAAATATTTTTATTACTATTATAGTATATATATATTTTTTTATTTTTTAAAAATATTATAATAATAATAAAAATATTTATATATGTTATAAATTTCAATATATATTACCGAAAGGTGTTTAGCTGTACCGTAGCCAACTCCAAAAAGTTGACAGATTGCCGCCCCCGTTATGATTCAGACACATCATAAGTCATGTATCTCTCAAGTCGCCTGTCGGGGACCTTCCTCTCATTTGTTGTTAGGCCCACCAAAATATACACATTTCAGCTGTTATTTTCTTCAATGGATCAATATAACCATAACTCAAGTTGTAAGAAGAACTCAGAATTTTAAAGTTTGAATTTTAATAATTTTTTTAAATTTATTTTTTATAAATATATTAAGTAAATATTAAATACAACAGTAATACTATGTCACTATTGATGACATAGTATTACCAACCAATAATAAAACTACAAATAGCAAGGTGAACTCTACTTAGGCTTACATGAAAAAAAAAATGAAAGAATTATTTTATTACATGGTAAGGTAGTCATTAATTTTTATGGGATCCATTTATTGATTTGTTTTAATATTATTGGTTGATGATGATATCACCGTTGTAATGAATATTTTCTCCTTAACATGAATAATTTACTTTTGATCGAATCGAAAAGAAGATTATTCAAGGTATCATGCTTTTCCATTAATGAAAAATAATTTTACAAGTTTATACAATGGAAGCTTTCGGTTTAAAAGTAAGTGTTGATCATTGGGTACATAGTAATACTACACATAATAGACTATGGTACCTCAAAAAAAAAAAATCAGTATCATATTGATAATGATTAGAAATAATAAATTTTGGTTGGATGAATTTTTAAGCCATTGATTGTAAAATTATCATATCAATACCATTTTATTTGGTCTAATTTTTTTGGTCCATTTCACATTATTCTTGAGCCCGTGATTTTGGACTATTCTTTATCTTGAATTTATTTGTGTTGAGCTTCTTTTGTTATATACCCAAGTTATAATGAAATGTCTTATCCATATAATCCTTAGGGGTAGTATAATGATTAAATATGTTTTTTTTTTTGCAAATAAAATGTCTCAAATTTGATAATTATCATCCTTTTAAGAGCCAGCTTGAGTTACAGTAGTCAACTTAGAATTTCAGAAAATAATTAACATAAACCAAGACACCTTTGTAAAAAAAAAAAATGACTTCTTCGTGTTATTTTAGGTAAGGAAGACTCTCTCTTTATAGTAAAATAAAACAGAGAACAATGGATAAAGGTGAAATCTTTTGTAGTGCAAGCATATTACAACCAGTCTTTCATGAATAAAGTACCAAAATGATGGGCATTCATGTGCTTGAATATGCTAACACAATTATGGTGATCAAATCAATTTTATATGCCATTCCTTTCCAGCTCCGACATGTCCTTTTTAAAAATAGTTTGTGATTCTTTTTAATCAAGATCTACTAATATGTCCTACTTGTCCCTGTTAACGACCGGAGAAGTCACGTTGACAATTATAATAAAAGGGTTAAGCGGTTAAAAGCTCGTCTCAATTTTGACTCATTTATGTTACAAAATAAATTAAATTTAAATGAATTTCACATGTTGTTTTGTAAATGAGCCTATCCAAATAAAGTATAATTCGATTTGAATTGATTCAATTAGATCCTTGTATCCAATTTTGTTACCAAAAAAATCTCCTTGGAAAAGTTAAGAAATCTCAAACTCAAATAACCAGGGATCATGCAGACTTTCCACTATCCCCTTTAACTAATAGATCTTTTGGGAAATTTGAGGTTCAAGGGTTAAACCTTGGGATTAATTACACATGTTTTGAAAGGTTATTATTGAAAAAATAATTATTTTAGAATTGAGAATTAAGCTTTAAGATTTAATCCTTAATAAATTTTGTCGGAAAAAATGGTCTTGGTTCTAGACTAATTGCTCATGAGCTTCTGCCGAAGCCGAGCTTGAGCAAGAATTGAAATTCTAACAGTCAAGTTTACTCAATCACAATTAAATCGAATGCAAACATACTTTTAACCTGGCTTTGACCCTTTCATTGAATGGTTCAACACACCGTCATGATGTTCCATAATGCAAATTGCTTTGGAATAAAAAAATCACATAGAATGATGTTTGTCTTGTAATAAAATAATGTATGTTGCCCGCCGATTGCATTTTTGTTTTGTTTTTAAGGTTCGTTGCAGTTCACATTAGATGCCACAGTCCACAATAAGATAGAGTGGGGGTGGGGAGAGGGGGGACATCATCACTGCATTTCAATAATTTTCTTTAACGGCAATGATAATGACGATGACGATGATATTCATCACAAAACATACCAACACAGTACTTACAAATTAAATCAGCAAGAAGACCCAGCTCGTAAATCCCACATAAAAAACACCTTACAATTGGAAACCTGTAACAGACTTCCTTAAGGGTTCAAAGGCACCCCAAGCAAGAGGTGATAAGTCAATGGCCATGAGAAGAATACGTATAGAAGAACAGATATAAGTCACAACTAAGCTAAGCTATTCCAGCCATATTTGTAGCTCAACAATTCACTCCACCGTCCGAATCCCGGGATTGGTAAAAATCATTTGGCCTCACAATATTTACATCCTCAAATTCGTTGTCATCTGGAAACAAGAAAATGTGCAATTTAATAGCTAATGTAAACAGCCACTAATCAAAATATGCACAAGTAATACTCAAAATAAAACAACATTTAAAATGATCAGAAACAGTTGAATTGACACACTCCTTAGGTCCAAAGCACATGAAAACTGGAACAGAGGAAAAAACATTTGACTACTGCAAAATTATGAGCAGGAACCTACTCAGGCTGGTCACATCTCTAATCTCCTACCTTCACTCCTTTCAATTCCTTAAGATTTTTATACAGTATTATCCTACCCTTAAGATATCACTCTCGCCCCACCCAAACTCTCATCCCACTTCCATTACCAACGTTTGTCATATCTTGCAAACATGAATGATACATTTACTTATCCAAAAAAACATTTGCAATATCTAGTACTCTCAATAGCATCAACCCCAAAGGAACACGCTGTCATTATCGATCAGGCAAACTCAATCTTGTAATTGCCAAGAACCAAAGTAATCAAAAACCAAGTCCAAGGTGTAGCTAGGGCCTAAGCTCGATAGAATATGTAATAAAAATCAATGTGCATATATTTCCTACAGTTTGCAAATGCATTTAACAATATCCAATAACATTACCACTTCGAGATTAAAATATACTCCATATATCATAGTACGATGATTGAAGCCTATACAATCCTTTTCACTTGTAATTTGTAAAAAACAATAGCTTTGCTAATAGACTCGTAGTTTGGTTTATTGGCACATTTACTAACCAACGAAAAAAGGCAGTTAAACGGTTAGAATTCCAAGATAAAGTTGAACCCGATCAAGTGAGTCAACATCCTCAATATAAAAATTTGGTTGATCAAGTCTCCCCAAGCAAGGCAAATTTCTGCCTGTATGGTAGGTTGATGTCAGATGACCGTGCGAAACTCCATCATACTAGCTTTGGTACCAAGATTAAGTATGAAAAGTATAAGGAAACACTATCCTATAGACTTTAATACCAAATAATGATGTTGGGCGGATGCCTAGGGTTTTTACTCTGCATACTACTCGACTATTCTGGTAGGTTAAATGCAACTTCCAGTGAGAAAAAGGGAAGAGGGGAAAGAGAGGGGGGGGAGGACTAATTTGAATGGAAACAATCTATCACAAGTATCTCTAACACATATCCCAGCTTGGTTGCATATTATGACAGACAATAAAAAATTCAGTTTAAATTGTATTCAGCTATTTCTATTATTAAAGGGGATAGGATTTGGCATCCACTCCACCTGGACTCACCAATATGTTAGACATTGTGTGGTGTATGTAACAGCTTGCAACTTGGCACGTGTACAAAACCCAAATTTCTATTTAGAATCAGCCTCCACCGCCATCTCTATCAATTCTTAACTGCTCATGTATCATGTGTGCCAGTATACCTTACATTATAGGTCCAGGACTAAATCTAAACTCTTTCAGGCTCCATATGTTTCTTTGGCTGCCTGGCATACACTGACCAAAAATCAACTAATTTTACAGAATTCTCTTTATGGTGCCTAGAACTGGATCAATCCAAAGCAAGACCATCGTAAACAGGCAAGACATTACACATTTCTATGGTCCCCGATAAAGTACGATGAAACGGAAGGTTACAGGGGATGATAATGCATTGAATCTGTAAGACACAAGTGAAGAAATAAGTGGTAATACAGAATCAAGGGCGATATATAAATGGCTGATAATGATCCGGCATTTCTTTATCTCAAGATTTAAAGAAAGCAGGCAGTGGAAATTTGAATCTGTTGAAAGGAGTACACTACACATTACGAAACAACACCTCTATCAGTTGGAATTTCAAGAGGCATATATCATTGGATTTTAAGGATGGCCATAGCCTTGAACAGGAGATATTGCAGATACTGACACTTCTCGAACACTCTTTGACACCAAGCAAACAACAGAGAAAGCAATGCAGACAAGAAACAAACCTTTTCTCAAGGTCAGTGCCACAACAGCATCATTTTCGACCTGAAAAAATCAGATGTTAAACACATCAAAACACTTAAAAGGATGAGGTATTCAAGAAATATAACAACAATCAGAAGGGCATTTTGCACTGAATAGTAGATAATTCCTTGAAAATGGACTGATACCTTTTGATCTGCCAATGTTTTTGAGTCATCTAAAATTCTGCCAGTTTCCATTAGAATCAAACGCTGGTCATCAACTGGTTGATCAATGAGGGCATGCAACTTCTCCTTGATTTTCAGAATTGTCTCTGTTGGATCGCATTGCAGAAAATAGGTTGTCTTACAATGCTTAACACGAATATACATAGCCTGCATCAACATTGCAATATAATAGTATTACACAATCTCAAATAGTAGCTACAAGCCTAAAATGAATCACTTATAGCAAAGACTAAAACAAATATCAGCACCACCAATATATGCCTAGAATTCATCGACAATTAAATCATTCTCTCATTTCAAAACTTTCTAAAACCTTGCTCCTTCATATATACGATCACAATTAATATGGCTAATTTTTTCATGACCAATTAAGTGGAGCATGACAAACAAAGAATTACAAGGTTGTCTGCATCATGTGGTCTACATGTGAATAATCACTAATCAGAACCCAAAACATACTTTGATGGTTGAAAATATGATAGCTATATAAGGTGGATCAACTATACACAACTTGAGATTTTGTACCACGCTCAACACAATCCAAATTTACTTAGACCATGATCTAGAATCCAGTACACAGACTTTAATGGCCCAAAATATAAGCTTTATGCACATTAACTGATGTCACAATCATACTTTAAAATCTAGTAGAAATCATGGCTATGCATATTAGCAAAAGAAAGAACAAAACTTCTTTCAATATTCCGAATTAAAATCCACAAAGTAACAAAGTTCTACATGATCTTTTCTTCCAAATTGCAATTCCAACAACTAACTGGAAATTACTCACAGGCACAGTTAAGTGCAATAGCCTGAGGCAATTGTAACAGTGTCAAAAGTGGCAAATTAACAATGACAAGATTGTGCCATTGCCTGTAAATAATGTGAAAAGTTAGATTCATGCCTAGTCCATCCCTTCTAGTACTCTTCATTAATGGACATTAGTGTACATTACGTAGTGTATAACCCTTTACAGAGCTAAATGGAGCTTTAAGGGCTTGTTTGAATGGATTTTTGGGGAAGGTCTTTCCAAATCCAAACCTCTCTTTACAAAGATGGGATTCAATATTGAATTTAGTCCATACCCATGTTTGGTATGCAACACATACATATGTAGGATTCACGGATATATCACAATTATTAATAACCATTTATCCTGTAAATGATTGTTTTACCCCTCAATCAATATAAATGATACAATTGTCTTTTGCATTCTTAACCCCTTAACCCACCTCTCCCAAGTTTGACAAAATTCATGATCATGGATTCAGTATTTAGGCCAACTGCGGGCTGGATTTTATAACTCAGGATTGAAATTTTAGTCCAAACATGGGGTTTGGGGGCCCTTTGGACTATTTTCCCCAAACCTTGAACATCAATACCCCACATACCCACAAAACAAACAGGCCCTAAGGAGCAATACTTTAAAAAACGCTATATTTTTTCTGGTGATCCCACAATTATGCCCTCGGCATTCCCAGTCCCCACCGCGACCACCTCATTTCCATCTTCTTGTGCTTGGTACTGGTTTTGTCACACTGGCATAAGTCCAAGCCCTACAAGATAGACAGAAGGAGTCCATGCCAACAACCATGAACATAATGTCTAAGTTTGTCCTGATTGTGCAACAAGTCGATTCGATGGAAAAAATGGCAATCCCAGAGCATATATTACTCGATATCTTGATAGTCTCAGCCATTATGTGCTCCAATAAGCCTCTCCGAATAAGGGAATTTTCCAAGTCACTCAAGGACAAGGCCTTCATTTGGTACGCCAACCTTCCCGCGAAATCAGTGCATGGCTGAGACGATCTGGTCTCACAGTTCTATGCAAAGTTTTTTCATGTTAAACAACGAACAACAATTCAGTCGCTGACAAAGATCATCCAGGAGGATGGTGAGACCCTAATGGTGTACATTGACAAGTTTCATGACAAGACCATTGAATGTCAAGAGCATGACTCCATTGATGGGATGCACAACAAGTACAAAGCTTACCTTGTCAACAGCGACTTCAAAACCTACACCAAACTCTGTGAATCCACACAGAGGCTCTCAGAAGTTGTCCAGCCAGTCATCAAGGTGGCTGGAAGGAAAGACAAGCGGAAAGGAGTTATCATCGCGGTCATGGGGAAGCTTGACTTGCCCGAGTACTGCGCTATAAATACCTACATTACTTACTACAGAGGACACACTTCTATCTGGTCAGAGATAAGCACTTGGTTGATGAAGAGCATTTACCCTCTCCACCTACCCAAGAATCCTTTTACCCAAGTGGTTGATCCCTCCATTAATAGGTAACTCGAGTCCTTCCCTCCCATTCATATATTCTACTCATCCCTTTGAGGACACTTGTCATAGACACACCTTCTTCTTTCTTAATCAAAGTAGAACAATAGGATTTACAAAGCATTTTAGTGTTACTAATAGAATGATGCTATTCAGATTTTATTTATCCTAATCCACTATTGGATTCACAGTGTACTCTACCCAACATTTGGACTTGTTGCCAATCCAACGACTATAGGTAATTAAGTAAGTAATTAGGTCAGAAACATTACTCTTCTTAATATCAATCGACTTTCACCTATTGTTAATAATAGAGAAAATGGTCATCAAAATGGAAAAAAGAACCAAAAAAAAAAAGAAGCAAAGAATAACACTATAATTCAAAACGTCGAATTGCCCAAGAAGAATACAGTAGACACACAAAACGAATTGATTTTCATTTTCCATTTCAGCAAATCTGAACAGTTAAAAGCATGCTCACCATTTGATCCGGACTCCCGGAATGCGATTGCTGAGACATGAACGTTGCCGGAGAAGTCTGGGGTTTTTCTTTCTGTCGTTTCTCTCGGTTCGACTTGGTCACGAGAGGAAAAGTGTGTCCGGGTCAGTGGAAACTCGAGTAAGTTTTTTGGTTTTCTACCTGGGTAGGTAGACCAGAAAAACAAAAAGATTAAATTACACTCAGACCCCTTAATGTTTTTGTCCCTTTACCGGATAAACCCCCTCTGGTTTGGAATATTACACTGACACCACTTATCAGCCACTTCTGATTAACGTAACCAGCAGAACAAGCCACTTCTGATTAAGGCTAGTGTCAGAAAATATCCAACCCGGGGTTTGATAGTTTGTCTCAGCTCAATGATTATGTGTTTTGCACATTCACTTGATCCATTTGATGGCTCCTCTTACGATGTCACTTGTTTTTTAATACTAGAGTTCCGTTTGGTGGGAAGGAGGAGAAGTATAAATGATATATTTTTTTCCTTTTGTATTTGTTTGGATGGATAAAAAATTAAAATGATCAGTTTTTTTTAATTTTTTTTTTAATATTAAGAGTGACAATCGAGTCGTATCATGTCAAATTTGTCTTGAGTCATAAAATTATGAGCCTTTTATATTTATTGTTCGCGTGTTAGGTCATTTTCAAGTTCATGTCAAGTTATAATCAAGTTCATGTCATAAAATTCGTGTCGAGTTCGAGTCGTATCATCGTGTTGAGTCAAAAATTTTCACTTCTAATAAAGATGAAAAATATATATTTTTTAATTTAAAATTTTTATTTTTATTTTTTTAATACATATTTTATCATTATATTTTTTATATGAAATTAATGTATACATAATATATAGACAAATAAGATACATTTCAACACAAATAATTAACTTTTCATCCACTTTCCTTTCGATTTTAGAGGAATTGATTTTGGTGAGTTGGAAATAAAGTTAATTCATCTACTTTTTCATCTTTAGTAAATATGATATTTTATTTATCCTCTAATTTTTTATTCTTCCAATTTTTTATTTTTCTATCATACAAAATTGGGCATAGGTATTTTTTAAAATCTATTCTCTATTTCTCAGTTGGGTCGTCTTTAAAATGGCCTATGGTAAAGTTGTTTGAGTTGAGATACGTATTTGATGAATACTAATATTATGCGTCACTTTTTTGAGCGAATAAGCTTTGCGATCTCATGGGAACATTTCATCGTTTTCTTGAATAAAAATAAAGTTACTGTACCACAAAGGTATTTTATCGAAATTAATCTGCAATCGTTGATTTAATTTTGATGATGTGTATCTGTTCATCAAAAAAATTATAAAATAAGTAAATTTGATTTTATTGAATAAAAAAATAGAGAGATATTTAAGATTTTTTTTTGGTACCAGAATTAAACCCCTCTAATAATGTTAAAAGTATATGTAAAAGATGAAAATTGATGATACCCCTCACTAAAGATTTGAATTTGATATTTCTGGTAATGAATATTTTTGAATTTGATCTCCAGTCTTTGCTTCTTGCAAAACAAACAAACTGCCCAAGATCAAAGTGTTTCGATCAAAGGCACTCCGATACTTAAGTCAGTAATGGAACTGAGATAATTGCAAGAAGACCAGGAGAGTTCAGCATACCTCTCACCTTGACTTTTTTTGTTTTTTACCCCATAGGGTTTCCGTGATTTTTGATTCAAGGTGGTATACATTCCTTCAATTCAGCGATTCAGTTTAAGAAGTTGCTGATATTTCTCTAACAAGTCTTCCTGATATTTATAATTTCGTTGATTCGTTTATCCAATTGCCTAAGTTATAGGCGAATCTTTATTTTTCCATCTATCATTTTGAACAGCTCGGACATATCGAACGCCGATCACATTTGATATTTGCCGAACAGTTTTAGGGAAATCATTTCGTACAAACCATTCTCTTCAATCTCCTTCCCGAATACTTTAATAAACTTGGCTTGTTACAAGCCGAGCTCTTTCTGTATAGATTGATAAGCTCGGTAATAAAGAGAACCGAACTTCTTCTTTGTCTACCTAACCTTTTGTTAGCTCGGCTTGGTTAAAAAACTTAATCAAGGATTCTTCAAGTCGTAACTTGTCTTGTTAACCTCACATGGGCTCATTTAATACCATAACACATGTAATAATGAGGGTCAACCCCTTCATTTTCCCCTAGAAAATGTCTGACAGACGTCTTTCATCTGTCAGCTATTTTTTGTCCTTTCATCATCAATGCGCGTTTCTATGTCATCCCCCTAGTTTTGGCGGCACGCTTTAGCATTTAAATATTGCCCCTTATAATTTTTCTCTTTTATAAACAATTTTCCTTCGTACCTCCTTCTATCTGCCATCTTGCCTCTAAAACCATCTCTTGTCTTGCATCTTCTCTATCTGTGCACTTTATCTTTTTCGATGGCCCCTCTCACACCCTCAAAAGTTTCTGTCTTCAAAATCAAGTACAACATTCCAGACAATGTCGAGGTTAGAGTTGCTGGGAAAGATGAGCCCCTGATTGGCACAAGAGAGTCAATCCCTATCCCTACTCGTGCTATAACCGAGGGTGGCGTGCGATTCCCTCGCAATCCCCTTCTGATCTGGGTGTTCTTTGCTGCAAAGCTCTGTCCCCTTCAATGTTGTCTAAATTTGTTCAAGATTAACAAGATTATGAGTTTGAGCCTTGGATTGTGGGAGATTCTATACTGCTACATTATCAAGGTTGCTGGAGATAGCTACTATCTATCGGTAAGGAAGAAGGATCGCTACCTTGTGACCCATCTCCAAGATTCCAACAAAGGCCACAAGAATGATATCGTTTTTATCTCTGAAAATTGGGAGTACGCTGCTAGTGCAGTTCCTTCCTACCGTTGTCCCTACGAAGAAGCCATGCCAAGTATTCGATGTCTTTTTCCTTTTGTTTTAGCTTTTATTTTCTATTTTTCTGACTTGTGTTTTCTTCTGTGCAGGCGAAACTGTGAAGGGAAGGATTGTTGAGACCTCTGTAAAGATGGACCAACTTCAAAAAATTTAGAATTTCAATGAGACTCTATTTTGCCAAGCCACCCCTCCCTGTTTGGGTACACTCCAACCTACACCTCTTTCATTGTCGTGTCGAATCGACCCAACGCCACTCTGGCTACAAATCGGGAGGCGATCCAGACTGCCCGAGCACAGACTCCTCGAGTCAAGAAGTCTTATCTTGCAGCCTCTAGGTGCAGGACGGTAAAAAACTTCCTTGATTTTTATCAACTGTCGAATCGACTCCTTCCATCGAGCCGACTCCAACTACTCCAGTGATTCCGATTTTTGTCCTTGAGGAACCTATTTCCAAGGTTTTGGCTGAAACTTCTCTACCTAATGATGCTGATCTGTTGACCAGTGGGCAAGCAGATATAGTTAGGACCATTGAAACTTCAATTCTAGTTGAATTAGACCCTCCAGATACTGTCCACTCTCCTTTTCCGCAAGATGATTCAATTTTTGAACTCACCAAAAAATTGGCTCCAAAGGAGAGACAGATTGTCGAGACCGAGGCAAGTCTCTCTCCAAAACCTGTGAATTCTCATTTCAAACCAATCCTTAGAGCTAAAAGGAGAGAAATTACTGCAAAAGATTCTACGATAGAGGATTTCAACGTTATAGTTGGAGTTGCTCGGGGAGTGATTTTGCCTCGGGACTTGGCTATGAATGAGGCCCTTACTGATGATGAGGTGTCTCGCCAAGCCATTCAACATATGATTTTGGTAAGTCTTATTTCTGACATTCCTTTAAGCTTTTTTAGCATTGGATTTTTCTAAGTCCTTTCCTTCTTCTTTAAAGGTTTGCCAAAAGTTCATGAGGTCAGAGCTCGAAACTTTATTATATTTATTAAATGCTTGAAAAAACATGACTTTTGAAGTCTGAGTCCCTTTTGCTCGAACTTCCCTGAATAAACTCGGTCCCTTAATAAGGATCCTTTATACTTTGAACAATTTGATGGCTTTTGAAGTCAAGCCTCTGCTCGGTCTTACTTCAAAGAATTCGGTCCCTCATCAGGAACCATTCATATTTAGAAAAAATTTAATAACTCCAGAAGTTATGGCCCTGCTCGGCCTTCTTCAAAGAGTTCGGTCCTTCACCAGTAACCATTCATACTTAGAAAAAATTTAATAACTCTAGAAGTTATGACCCTGCTTAGCCTTTCTTCAAGAGCTCGGTCCCTTACTAGGAATTATTCATACTTAAAAAAAAGTTAATAATTCTAGAAGTTATGGCCCTGCTTGGCCCTTCAAGAGCTCGGTCTCTCAACAGGTACCATTCATACTTAGAAAAAATTTTAATAACTAAGTTATGGCCCTACTCGGCCCTCTTTAAAGAGTTCGGTCCCTCACTAGAAACCATTCATACTTAGAAAAAATTTAATAACTCTAGAAGTTATGATCCTGCTCAGCCCTTCTTCTAGAGCTTGGTCCCTCGGTAGAGTTACTCTTAGTTTACCTTTGAGATTTAAGAGAGTTTTTACTCCGCACCAACCCGTCAATCTGATTGGATTCAAATTTATCCCTGATCAGCTTACATCATCATGTCTAGCTGAGGGCCTAGATTAGATCGGGTGGTTGCCCCTAATTTAATTTTTTAACTTCTATCAGGATTTTCTGCCTCCCTGTCTTAACAGTAGGACGTATATAAAGTGGAGCAAGAATAGGAAAGAATCTTGATAAATTTTTATTAAAATCTTCAGTTCGGTACATTTGGTAATCACCTATCAACTCTTAAAGGGTACCCTTAGGTTTTCGAAGGTATTTTGGAGTTCTGTCTAAAAAAGATACTTTTTAGAAATAGAACTTTCTAAGGTTAGCAAAGTTCCAGGGGCGTGACACTGCCCTTTGGTCCATGGTTTCTAGTTCGTAATACCCGCTACCCCCTATTTGGGCAATTTTGCAGGGTCCTTCCCAGTTTGCTCCAAGCTTACCATGGGTTGGATTTTTAGCTGATCCCAGTACACGTCTAAAGACTAGGTCTCCAAGTGTGAAAGATCGAGGATTAACCATCTTGTTATAAACTCGGGACATTTGATTCCTGTAAGAGGTCATTCTTATAGCTGTTTGTTCTTTTTTTTTCTTCAGCAAAATC